ATCGATCCGGGAAAATGAGGTACGCTCAGCCGGGAGATAAGGGAATGGCTGAGATGAGGATAATTCACGGGCGATCCGACAAATCACGGGATCTAAATTCCGGAAGAGGTCCCGAGGTCGTCCGCGCTCGGAATGCCCATGGCCTCAGAATCCTTCGAGTCTCATCGGCTGAGTAGGACAGTGTGTCGCTCGGTGTGGTGGGCCCCTACCCCGATGTCGGATGACCCGGCCAGTGGCCTACTTAGGCGTCTCTTTCCTCGACATTTCTCCGTCTGCCTCTCGGTCCCTGGCCAGTGGAGGGCGTCCAGTTCCTCCACCAGCGGCAGCACGGACTTCTGAACCGGGCAGGCGGTCGGATCCTCCTGGGCGCCGGAGAGTCGCCGAAGACCGCACTTTGGCACCGGCCAGACAGGAACCGTCCTCGAGGCAGCTCGGCAGGGCGGACAGTAGCTAGTCGAGACCACAGAGAGCACTCCATGTCCCGGAGTAGCTTCCCGGGCGGGAACTACTGGCCGTCTTCGGGCCGAGGGGATCCGTGAGAATTGTGGGAAAGAGAATCGTGGAAACTATTGCGGGACCTCCAGGAAGAACTTCCGTGAGAACCGCAGACAGGAGCTTCGACTTTCCCAGGAAAAAACGAAGCAGTTACCCTCGGTAGCTACGTCGAGAACTCCTGACTTCGCGACAGGGAACTACAGTCGGACAAGTGCCTCGTTCGGAGCGGTTGCCGAAGCTGCGACAGAAGTTTGTTCTCTTGTGCTACTGTGGAGACTGCAGGTTCTGGATTCCGATATAGAGACTCGTTTTGGGGTGACTACGGAAGAAGAAAGGCAGGAAGTGGTCCCTCGATGAATGCCTGGGAGTAGTTTCGGCTCACCTGACCCCTGATCCTTGGGGAACCTCGAGGAGCACCCGAGAGAAGTGGAAGGTAAGACCCGGACAGGTGCATCCGCATCAGGTGCACCTACGACCCGATTCGGGATCGTGAGAACTCGTTCACTCGATTCCTGGAACCAGGTCGACTAGCTGCTGTCTCGAAACGGTGCTTGTGGGTTTCTTGTTTAATTACCTGGAAATTACCGAGTAGACTCCTGTCGCAGGAAAGTGTCGGTGCGAGTGACGAGGACTGATATGCGTGCACGTAGCTGCATTTAATTAATTACCTCGGTACGAGTGCACGACAAAAGCACTCGATTCCTGGACTGGGTACACTGGCGGACATGAATGTCGCCATGTCTGCAGGAGTACAATTCCTGTCCAACATTGTACAGGCGCGCGACAGTAGCTACTCGGAAACTTCCGGCCATTCTAAACAAGGCATTACAATTAATTATGGAAATTATTTTCCAATTCGATGATAAACGGACTGTTGGAAAGGAGGTGCGTAGGTGCAAGGACGTTTCTCCCGGATGGACGGATAATCTATAACCTCACTCTTCCTGCCGACGCAGGTGCTCATTAAAAGGGAATCGCACTTTCTCTCGCATTCTTCCCTTCGCTTGCTTTTCTTGCAGTACTATTTTTTCCTTTACCTTTGTACCTCCTCCATTTTATCTCCATTCGCTCGAGATTATTCCTTCGGTGGACTTTCCTCGGGGGATTCCCCTTTCTTTGCCCTATAACACCTCATTTGCATTCCTTTCTATCGCAGTAAAGTGCATTGAAGCGTTAGATAAAAATTATAACGTACACTTATCCGCTTTGCGGGGGCATTTACGAAGTGTTTACCTTTCTCCTACCGGGGTGATGGATCATCTCCCAAGATCTTCGGCTTCTCTTAAATCCGATCAGCTGATCGCTGAGTCCTCGGATAAATTCCCGAAAAATAATTCTCAGGTTATTTTTATTCCCCCCTGGATGTACCAATCGGCACTTAATTTTCTATTTGAGTCGTGGTACTTTACAAATGCGAGTGATTGGTTTTATTCTCCAACTTATTCGTGGTTGATTTTAATGCTAGATCCTGGATCCATTAATTACACCACGTTAGGGGAAATTCTCGCGGGCGTAATTGACAGGCGCGAATTCGGTCATCGATCGGTGATTTCATTCGGGCAATCGACGGATTCCGATTTTGCGAATGATGAAGAGAGGCCTTCCTTAGGAGGACGAGCTCGAAGAACGTGCCGTCCTCGTTGGGGCCGAACAATCGGGTCACCCAGATCCAACGATCCAACGAGGAGAGCGAAGCGAGCTTTCTCCGGGACAAACCTCGGCTTCCGTGTCCCATGCATGTCCCGACAAAGACATATCCAATTGTCCCGGACATGCCTGAAATCTCTGGAACCCCTGAAAAAATACTCCCCCGTTATTCTGAATTTTTTCTTGAATTTAAAAAAATTTTTTCTGGAATTTCTGCATTTTTCTCAATATTTCCTCCACCTTTGCGGCGCAAATCGCCCCTCTATAGTTTTCACGGAAATTTAATATTCCGCTCTTGAATCAATATTTAAATGACTCCTACGTTTCTGGAAGATGTTCAACAGTACTCTCCCGTTATTATGAATTTTTTAGAATTTTTTCCTGAATTAAAAAAATTTTTTTCTGGAATTTCTGTATTTTTCTCAATACTTCCTCCACCTTTGCGGCGCAAATCGCCCCTCTATAGTTTTCACGGAAATTTAATATTCCGCTCTTGAATCAATATTTAAATGACTCCTACGTTTCTAGAGGATGTCCAATAGTTCTCTCCCGTTATTATGAATTTTTTAGAATTTTTTCCTGAATTAAAAAAAATTTTTTCTGGAATTTCTGTATTTTTCTCAATACTTCCTCCACCCTTGCGGTGCATAATCGTCCCTCTATAGTTTTCCCGGAAATTTAATATTCCGCTCTTGAATCAATATTTAAATGACTCCTACGTTTCTGGAAGATGTTCAACAGTACTTCCCCGTTATTCTGAATTTTTTTGAATTTTTTCCTGAATTAAAAAGAAATGTTTCCTGGAATTTTTCTCAATACTTCCTCCACCCTTGCGGCGCAAAATCGCCCCTCTATAGTTTTCCCGGAAATTTAATATTCCGCTCTTGAATCAATATTTAAATGACTCCTACATTTCTGGAGGATGTCCTATATATTTAACCCGGATTTTCTAAATTTCTGGCGACTCTGAAGTGCAGCCAAAGTGCAGTCCCGAAGAACGGCTTCTCCCTTTTCGGAGGAACCGTTATCCCCGTAGAGTCCGGAGGGGGTCCGGAATTTCGATGTCGAAATTCGCAAGGTGCTTTCCGAGATTCGGCGCACCTGCAGGAGAAGGAGAGAGAGAGAGAGAGAGATGCCAGCAGAAAGAGAGGGTCAATTGTAACGGAACAACTCGCTCTCGCCGTCTCCTTCGTGGCTTTCGAAAGTCGACCTTAACTCTTCGACGTCTCTTTAGATTTGTACGAAGTATTTCCCCGCATCGTTTCCGCGATGTCTACGAACAATCTATGACTCCGCATAAAGGACCGCAATTGCGATTAAGAAATTAAATACGATCTACCATTAAAATCGAATATAATCGATCAATCTCCATTTTGGTCCCTGGAGATCATTCTTACGTGGCGCGCGTAACGCACGTAACGAGTTTAATTTTTCTCGGAGAAATCGGTGTGCGTATAGTTGCACCGAGTCACGTTACTTTTACTACATGTAAAAGTAGAGAAATCGGCCTTATCGAAACCGCGCTTATTCGATTCCCGACCGGACAATCACGGGGCCCAGAATTGATTACCCTTTTTTTCAAGGAAACGTTAAGTGCCACTTCTGATCCTGCATTTCTAGCAATCACTGATGGAGTAATTGTTGGAAATCGCCTCGTAACGATGACGGGAATTGCTTTTACTTTACACCTTAGGGCCCGTATCGCCTATCAGTCATGGAGAGCCACCAGTATCATCACTTTTTTGGGACCGACATCGGGTGCCCCAGAAACCTACAAACCGATCCGCGATCTCTTCCCCATTACCTCTGCACGACTCTTGTCATTTTTCTTCGCGGAACCGGGTGAATGCAGCGCTCTCGAAAAAATTACCCGACAATTTCAAGACTCCAACCTTCCGAAGCTAATTTTACCGGCGACCTGCAGTCGAGGAGAAGGTTCGAAAAAAATTGTCGAAAATCCGTGCGACGCCTCGCGAGGTGAAGTGCCTTTATAGAATCCTTCTCGACATAAATTCATAAAAATTTATTAGAAAATGGTAAAATTCAGAAATAAATTTCATTTGCTTTCGTGGATTCGGGGTAAGATATTGTAGGGTCGGATTCCCGAAAATGGTCGGGTTAACCAGCTGTCCCAGAAATCTTCTTCCGCCCATTCATGCCCATCCCCAGCAAGATAAATTCATAAAAATTCATTAGAAAACGGTAAAATTCAGAAATAAATTTCATTTGCTCTCGTGGATTCGGGGTAAGAAATCGTCGAGTCGGATTCTCGAAAATGGTCGGGTTAACCAACTGTCCCAGAAATCTTCTTCCGCCCATTCATGTCCATGCCCAGCCTCGGACCGAATATTCGCCCGCGTGGAATACCACGCGACGAGAGCTAACTATGCGTAACGGGATCCCGTACCGACGAACACGTACGCACGTGCCTTCATGTACCCCATGAACGTACCGGGTATACGATGGCACGAAGCCTCTCTCACCTGGAGGAGAGCACCTCTACGTGCCGGCCGAGGTGGACGAACCCCGAAGAGCCGGTGCTCGCCAATTTGCGGGACTTCGGTTCTTACGTAAGCATCCGAGGGATCTCGCAAAGTCGGCTCCGAGATTGCTTATTGCATCCTTAAAAGATTCTGCAGTAGCCGAAGACACCAGGTCGCGAGTACCCGGGAAATGCGTGCTTACCTGCGCACCTTGGCGAGGTAACCTCCAAGAGTCTCGGATTTCCTCCTCTCCATCGCGTCTATAATTTCTCGAGTAATTGCCCTCCGGTGTGTGTACATCTTGTCCCGAAGGTGGAGTGTAACCTGAAGAGGAGGGCCAAGGGGATTTCCTAATCACCTACGAACTTTTTGCAGATGGCAGCCCGAAGAGGCACTTGTCTCCTGATCGCGATCCTGGCGACGACCTCGGCCTTCTCGGTGTCGGACCTGTCCCAGAACAGAGGTAATTATGCATTACCCATTGCACGATTAAGGTGAAGTGAAACACGTCGAGGAACTTGATCGACGTCGATAAAGAAGATTTTTCTGCTGGGACAGCTGGGTCGAATTATATTGGGTATTGTACCAAATGGCATACTACACCTGTCGTTTTCGTATAATAAATATCAAGAAATCGAAGTAAAACTCCAGAAATCCTCTGGATTCAAGCTTTCTGGGGCCCTAATTGACTGCAGAGGGACCCCCTGCGCCATCTGTGATTTCCAGGTCAATTAAATTTTCACTCCGAGACCCCGTATTACCATCGTTTTAGTATAGAAGCGCATACAACACTTTTTTTCCCCTTATCCCGTTCAAATGCAAGTTTATCGATTACCAGAGGGTTCTAAATTCTCGTAAAATTGTCCTGACCCTTTCGATTCTCATATGTGCCCATAATTATGAAAGTGGTCTAAGTCAGAATTAAAAAAAAAATGAGTGTATCAGTTATTTCACGCCGTATTATTTCAAACGAAATTAATTCAATATAATTTCGAAACAACAAATATATGACTTAGACCACTTTCATAATTATGGGCACATATCCGAGCCTTCGATAATTGTATATCGATCGAAATGTCAGAGCTCGTCGCCATTTTGGTTTTGGTCTGAGTCAAGTTAACAAAATTTTTTCCAAAAATCCAAACTTTCAATGTGTCGGGACAATTCTTCGATTGTCAGGAGTGACGTGTCAAAGTTTCGGACAGTTTTGTCTAATACCCTTAAAAAAAAGTGTTGTATTCGAGTCGACTGATTTGAAGGGTGTTTGACTTCACCTTAAATATCTAGACAAATTTGGAGGATCAGGGATTTATTAGCCATCATTTTCGTGGCTCAAACTCCTTGCTCCGGTCTCGTAACGCCGGTAATGCTGGTTGAGTATGTACCCTAGTTACTTGCTGAGGTATGTAGAGAGGCAGACTGGTCAGTGTACTACGTTTTTGCAGGCTCCCTGGTAATTGCTAATTAGTAACAGTAATTAGAGGCGAGAGCTGCACCCTGACGAAAAAAAAAACAGTGTCAATGAACCAGAGGAATACGTCATTGAATATTGCCAAAGAAATATTTCGTAAATTCGGGGAATAATTATTTCTCTTAAGAAGGAATAAATTGTAATTTCTCCGGAGATTGCTCCATTTTGCGGGGAAATTTTTTGAAAATCTCTGTTTTCTCCCAGGCAGGAAGCTGTTCGGAGGGTACAGGATAGTTCCCAAGGTGTGCCACTCCACCAGCCCATCGAGGACGTCCAATGAGCCTGCAATTTGCATGTTCAACTACGAGTGCACCCGCCGAAAAGGAGTCGTAATTGGAACCTGTATGGATGGTTTCCTGTTCGGGGCCTGTTGCCAGCTCCCAGGAGTGAAAGAAACCTCGGAAGATGCCCCCAGCACCGAGAACTTATTGCTGATCTCCGAGGACATCGACCACGTGCCGGATGTCCCGATTCTGCTGAACCCTGATGGGACCCCAGCAGAGATCCAGGGGTCCAGCCCTTCTGGGACCTATCAGCTGATCCATACAAAAACCTCACCATCCACGTTCCACTACAGCACGGATGCGACGCAAAACGCTGAGAGGCCTCAGGTTCCCTCGGGACAATCCGACCTGGACAAACTGCAGGAGGGATATTCTGCCCTGCTGCACCAGCAGAGCATCGTCGACGACCTGAGTCTTCCTTCGCTTCTGACGCATTCTGACTCCGATAACGGTCTTCAGGATCAGAGGGAGCCAGAACCCGATCGACATCGACCGATCACTACGTTACTAAGTCCAGATCAGGTGCTGCAGATCGCGGATCCCGTCGATCAGCTCCCAGCATTGTTCTCCAATGGGTTTGGCCAAAACGACCATGGGACAGCAGATACGGTGTTGCTGAACGAGAATGGGACCAGACTGGACGAGACGAACGACCCTGATCAGCTGTTCAAGCCGACGACCGTCGAGGTGAGGACGTCGACCACCCCGAAGGGTCCTCAGCATCATCCCGGAGCAGGTGGGAGTTCGATAAAAAATCAGGAAAATCGGGGAACGACTGTGTCGGGGACTTCGGACACCCATCGAGACTCCACGACGCCGATGAGCTCTACGGAGGGTCTCGTCAGGGTCCCCACGGTTGCCCATGAAACCCCCTCAGGGAACAAGAAGAACGACGAATTGGACCGCGAGGAAATCGCGATAAACCATATCATCTCGATGTTGAACGACACGAATTCAGAGACCTCTCAGATGGTCCCAGACACGAACTCGATGTCGTCGATCCATACCTGGGTCAGCATAGACGAGACGGCCAAGCCGACGATGGTTAAATTGACCACGACGCATCCTTCGGAGTCCTCTTCAGGGTCCTCTTCGGGGACGTTCCCGTACTCGTATTATAGGCCCGGACAGGGGTCCTCGTACTATAACTACGAGACCGTGACCACTCCGGTGCTGATGGTGTCTCCTTCTTCGGGGTTGTCTTCTTCGTTGCCACCGCCACCTCCGCCTCCTCCACCTCCCCTACCAGGGTCTGCGATCTCCACGAGCGATGGACCGCTTCTCTTCTCCAGCTCCTACTCCTCCAGACAGCCGGGAACTCAGGGTACTCTGCAATCCAGTAGTTACTCGTACTCGACAAGGCCGACTACGAATCCCCCAGCACCCACTGTCATCGTTCTAGGTCCCCTGGGAACGGAGTACACCACTGAGACCGGCGCCAAGACGCCCACCAGGAGACCCGGAGGTCCGATCAAGGTGACCAAAAGACCGGCTTCGGTGTCTTCGACGATTACCCACAACATTAGCACGGTTATCTCTGCTGGGAGCTCCTCCACCGGCGACCTGGTGTCCACCAGCTACTTCAGCGTCAACCTGAAAGAGGGAGAGAGCACCAGGCCGACCGAGGACGAAGAGGACCTCTACACGACGAGGTTCCCCACGACCACCACGAAGAGACCCATCATCTGGACCACCATGTCCTCCTGGTCCCCCGGGAGACCCAGCTTCCATCCGAAGCCCTCCACTCCCAGCGAGTTCTGGACCAACGATGGGACCACTTCCACGACAACCGCCGTTTCCTCTTCGGCCACTCTGACGACCTCGACGCTGATCGGCAAGCCGGTCGTCACCAAAGGAGAGGTGTCCTCGGTATCGACCCCCAAGACCACCACCGAAGCTCCCAGGACCACTCCAACCCCCAGGACCACAACCCCCAGCTCCACTCCAGCTCCTAGGATCACCACTCCCAGGAGTTCCGCCAGCACGACCACCCTCAGCACCACTTCCTGCAACAACGTCACGGCTCCACCATCGGAGAGCGACTTCCCACCGGACAGGAACCCCAACATCTCCCAGCAAGAGAAACCCACCCTGGTGGAGGGCATCAGCGGTCCGGACTACCCGACTCTGGACATTTTCAGCGAGGACGACATTCCCACCCCCGGGTTCATAGAAGACGACGTCCTGACTAACAAGGTCGACGTCTTCGTCAACAAGATCGTGGACTCTCTTCAGGGGAACTTCCAGGACCTGAAGGACGTAGTGTATGGGAAGAGGAACACCACGGCGAGTCCTGCGGTGGTCACCAGGAGGCCGACCGTGGCTCCCACCACCACCAAGAGGCCTACCGTTAAAAGACCCACCCAGGGGGTGAAGAAACCCACCACCACGAAGAGGCCTCCTGGTCGTCCCGTTCCCAGCAAACCTGGGACCCATCCAACTCCCACGTCCAGACCTCAAAGCGTAATTTCGACCACCAAGAGGAAACCCACCAAGAGGAGACCTCTTCCCAGCACCACTCAGAAGACCACCACGGAATCGACCCAGGATGCGTTCTCAACTCCCAGTCCTGCTGCTATCGAGGAATTTCTCTCAACCACCTCTCACACGGTTGGGGATCTGCGCAATGGTACGCACTACGCAAAGTAGTGATGCTCTTCGCCTGTTGGATGAATAAAGATATTGTTTTGCAACTGGAGCGATTTAATGTCGTCTTGCCAACAGTGCTCGAGGAGGAAGTAGAGGCGGAGATTCTTGAACAGGTCGGAGGGACTGAAAGAATTTAAGGGGACACGAAAGTGGCATTCTCGCTCGATCAATTTTTCCATTACACTTTTCTCCTAACTGGGTGTACCGATTCGTCTCAAACTTTACAACATTAATACAGAGGTCGTGAAAAATGTCCCGACACTCTTGAAGTTTCGATTTTTAAATATAAAAAAAAAAATGGTGAAATAAACATAAAGGAATTTTTTTAAGATTTTAATTTCGTCGGGTTTGGGATCGTATTTATTGATTTTGTAGACATATGGAATGATTCGGTATATTAAGTTTAGTTTCACGCCACTTTTATCTCGCCTTAAAAAAAATGTACTTGGCGCGAGACGCTACCGAGCGTCTCCGACGCTGGCGCTCTTCGGCCTCCACTTCCTCCTAGAGCCGGTACCACCTTTCCGACCCGGAAATGACGAAATCCCTTGTCGCTTCGCAGAGTGCGGAATTCGGCCGCTCGTCAGAGCTGGGCGAATTGTCGGCGGAAAAGGCGCGCAATTTGGCGAATGGCCCTGGCAGGTCCTCGTCAGGGAAGCCACCTGGCTAGGGCTCTTCACCAAGAACAAGTGCGGGGGTGTTCTGATATCGAATAGATACGTCATTACCGCAGCTCATTGCCAGCCAGGGTGAGTATGGTCCAGGAAACGGTGCCGGTGAATTTCTTTTATTTTTTTTTTATTTTTTTTTCTCATGGATTTGAATTTCCCGCGCCATTTTAGACCACCAGCTGATGACGTTGTGTTCCCCCAGGTTCCTCGCCTCGCTGGTGGCAGTCTTCGGGGAGTTCGACATTTCCGGGGAGCTGGAGGCCAAGAGGAGCGTCACCAGGAACATTCGCCGAATTATCGTGAACCGAGCCTACGACCCAGCCACCTTTGAAAACGACCTGGCTCTTCTGGAACTGGAGACTCCGATTCAGTTCGACGAGCACATCGTGCCAATTTGCATGCCAAACGACGGGGAGGACTTCACCGGGAGAATGGCCACGGTGACAGGCTGGGGAAGACTGAAATACAGTAAATATAATGTTAAATTCTAAGATAAACCACCCGAGGGTATTTTTATCATTTGTTAAACTCCCATCGTAGATGGCGGCGTCCCTTCCGTCCTGCAAGAAGTGCAAGTCCCCATTATGGAGAATTCAGTTTGCCAAGAGATGTTCCAGACCGCGGGTCACTCGAAAAAGATCCTAGACAGTTTCCTGTGTGCCGGATATGCCAATGGACAGAAAGATTCCTGCGAGGTACCCAAATCTAGGATATTAATTCTTAAGCTCTTAAGCATCGACGTCCACAAAATGGCGGCGCTCGGTCGTTTAGCTTCTCGCGTGATTAATTTTTTTCCAGCCAACGTACGGTGAAGGAGCTCCCGTAGAAACTCATCAGGGCATTGTTAATTACCAGTTAACGTGGGTTTTCATTTTTTAGGGCGACAGTGGGGGACCCCTCGTGATGGAACGACCCGACGGTCGATGGATGCTCGTGGGGACGGTTTCGCATGGAATTAAATGCGCGGCCCCTTATTTACCCGGGGTTTACATGAGGACGACCTACTTCAAACCCTGGTTACATAGCTTCGCCGGGGTCTGAGCTGGTCCCGCGGGCTGTTTGTATAAATGTACAAAGGAAAAATGTAATTTATTAAACTCCTCTTGGGAGATCGCGAGAGAGAGAGAGAGGAAGTCGCGCCCAGAAGGGCCGACCACAACCTGGGTCCCTATATGTACATATAGTTTACATACGCATACACAGGAGTATTACGCAGTTATTTATTTACGCTGTTAACTTGTTGTCCAGTAAAACCACTATTTTTATACGCCCCATGGACTGCCGCCGACCAGAAACGCCGAACCACCAACCCCATAGGAACCACTTGAATGAAATGAAGTACCACCGTTAATACCGATAATAGCATAAAATTGATCTACCGATAAATAAATTGACGACCCTCCTGCGGCCATCTAGGGAATTACTAGGCTAGTTTACTATTTATTTCATTGTTAATTCGAAGATTAAACGTGTTGATTTCCACGCGCCTCTCGTGTCCATATCCCTCGATCTTCTAATTTTAAGGTGAAGACATCCTTCAAATCAGTCGATTCTAACACACTTTTTTTTAAGGGTAAAACACCAAACTGTCCGAAACTTTGACACGTCACTCCTGATCATCTAAGAATTGTCCTGACACATTCAAAACTTGGATTTTTCAAAAAAATTGTTCAACTCAGTCCAGACCAGAACCAAAATGGCGTCGAGCTCTCATATTTCGATCGATATACAATTATCGAACGCTCTGATATGAGAATCGAAAGGGTCAGGAGAATTTTACGAGAATTTAGAACACTCTGGTAATCGATAAACTCGCATTTGAACGGGATAAAGGCAAAAAAAGTGTTGTATGCGCTTCTTTGCTAAAACGATGGGAATACGAGGTCTCGGAGTGAAAATTTAATTCACCTGGAAATCACAGATGGCGCAGGGGGTCCCTCCGCAGTCAATTAGGGCCCCAGAAAGCACGAATCCAGAGGATTTCTGGAGTTTTACTTCGATTTCTTTATAATTATTGTACGAAAACGACAGGTGAAATATGCCATTTGGTACAATACCCAATATAATTCGACCCAGCTGTCAATATAAAAACCAACGTCGGCAACGTAGGCATTTAGAAAAATCTTCTTCATCGACGTTGATCAAGTTCCTCGACGTGTTTCACTTCACCTTAATGATTTATGTATGATATTTATGGCGGGAGGATTTTTTATTCTCCGTGGAAATGCGAAAGGTCGCTGCCACCTCTTGACAGGCGTTATGGAAATGTCAAAGAGGACGGGGAGGAACGCGAAAAAAAAGAGACGTCGGAGAGTAAAGGGTCTCGACGTGGGTCGAGAGTGAACAAGGAACGATCGGGCACCCTTGACCCAAACTCCAGACCTCGTGCATGATTTCCCCTCGGAAACGATCCTCTCCGTGACGCAAGAGGATCTTGCGTTTGCGCCAACGTCAGCTTTGGTATTTCCATGGGATCCTGGTTACGGTGCATGTGGGTCGTCGGTTATTCCACCGATAACCCCCTGCGTACAGAAAACGCCGATCGATGAGGCTTCGATTAGCCGTTCATATGCAAGAGTGCAGGGCGTGTCCTGACCGCACCTGATGCAGTGCCCCAGGTCAGTGACGATCCCCGCGGGACCTTTAAATGCCTCGTGGCACCGCTCTGAATATTTTTCAAAACAGAAATATTTCAGAATTTACATAGCATAAATTCCCAGAGGGGAGGTTTGCACACAAAACGTCGGATCTTTAAGGTGAAGTGAAACACGTCGAGGAACTTGATCGACGTCGATAAAGAAGATTTTTCTAAATGCCTACGTTGCCGACTTTGGTTTTTATATCGATAGCTGTGTCGAATTATATTGGATATTGTACCAAATGGCATACTCCACATGTCGTTTGCGTACAATAAATATCAAGAAATCGAAGTGAAACTCCAGAAATCCTCCGGATTCGTGCTTTCTGGGGCCCTAATTGACTGCAGAGGGACCCCCTGCGCCATCTGTGATTTCCAGGTCAATTAAATTTTCACTCCGAGGCCTCGTATTACCATCGTTTTGGCATAGAAGCGCATACAACACTTTTTTTGCCTTTATCCCGTTCAAATGAGAGTTTATCGATTACCAGAGGGTTCTAAATTCTTGTAAAATTGTCCTGACCCTTTTGATTCTCATATCAGAGCCTTCGATAATTGTATATCGATCGAAATATGAGAGCTCGACGCCATTTTGGTTCTGGTCTGGGCTCCGTTAAAAAATTGGTTTAAAGAATCCAAATTTCCAATGTGTCAGGACAATTCTTAGGTGATCAGGAGCGATGTGTCGAAGTTTCGGACAGTTTGGTTTTTTACCCTTAAAAAAAAGTCTTGTATTCGAATCGACTGATTTGAACGGGGATTTCACTTCACCTTAAATACCTCACAGCGCCAGTATTTAAATTTCTAAAAACTGGAAAATATTAATTTCAGCAATATTTCAGAATTTTTGCGGCAAGGGTTCGAAACGATCAACGTGGATAAATTACTAGGGAGGTCCTGGAGGGGTTTCGTAATCCTGATTTTCATTTCCACCGTTCTTATCACTTTTATCATTTTTATCGCACTTCCGGGGACCTGGAGAGGGAAGCGGCGAGCTCTTCCGGGAAAACTGCGAGTCCTTGAACTTTAGTCTCCTCCGGGCTCGGTCCCTTGCGCGCGCAGTTGCAGCTGCAACTACTTCCTGCGCCTCCCGGCGAGTCGGATATACGGGCCGCGCCTGCGCGGGGGAGTGCGCGCGCAAGTCTCCCCGGAACATCCCGGGGTATAGATTGCCGTCGAGGCAGCCGCGAGTTCTCAGTCCTCCGGAACGGCCGAGAGAGGAAGAGGAGTCCCCAGGAACCCGCAGGAGAGTCCAGGACAAGGGAAGCTCGTCCCGCCGATCCCGCTCCATCGATCCGCCCTCTGATATCGGCTATCACCTGCATCGACCTGCACCCCTGCACCTGCGGCGAGAGACCCCGCACCCCTAGCCGCACCTGCGAGGGACGCTACCTTCCGACTACCCCGAAACAAGGCATGACATTTATAAATTACCATTATTTTTATTTCCATTTATTTCATTCATCCATAGTATTTAAGGCCACTTTATTTTCCGACTATGAAAACTTAATTATTAAGGCCACTTTATTTTCCGACTCCCAAAAAAAGGCGATTTACTTATTAAATATTAATTTAAAAACTCCGATTATTTTTTACTTTTTTTCACGGTTTTTAAGGCTACTCTAAAATAGGGCGATTTGTGATGTTTATTAATTTTCATTATTTTTAGTCCTATTTATAATATTTCCCCTCTACGTGATTTTTAAGGCGAGTCGAAAGAGGTCCTGCGAGAGGTAACGTAAAATAATTATTTTGTGAAATTAATTTTTTTTTACAGATAAATAAAAAATCAAAATGAAGCTACCCCTGGGTACGGTACTGACGTTGGCTGCATTCGTCAGCACCGTAAAAGTGGATGCATGGGGTGGACTTTTCAACCGCTTCAGTCCAGAGATGCTGTCGAATATGGGGTATGGAGGCCATGGCGATTATCAAGGCAGGACGTCGTCCTTCCTGCAGGTAAATCCGAATCGAGATTTATACATAATAAATCCATATTTAGTATATATTCCTTACGCTCCGAATATTGCGCGGAATTTCCAAGAAGACCTGTTGCGCGTAATTCCGAGGAAGCGCCGCTTTCGGTTCTCCAGGGTGCAGAAAATTGGAGAACGCTTCTTTTTTTTCCTCATTCTTTTCTCTTTTTTAAGCGCTTCCTGAATGGTCCCACAGGTTCTGCAGCTGAATCGAGCTTCGTTTCTCTTTCTCGCAGCCATTCGCAGTTACGGCGACCTGTAGCTACGTCAAAGCTCAATGGTAGCTCTGCACCCTGCGCTTTCGGTTCTCCAGGGTGCAGAAAATTGGAGAACGCTTGGTTCTTTTTTTTTCCATCCTTTTTTATTTTTTAAGCGCTTCCTGAATGGTCCCACAGGTTCTGCAGCTGAATTGAGTTTCGTTTCTCTTTCTCGCAGCCATTCGCAGTTACGGCCACCCCCCACGGCGACCTGTAGCTACGTCAAAGCTCAATGGTAGCTCTGCACCTGCGCGGACGTGGGCGGGATAACCTCCCCCCTGCAGCCCTCTGGAAGTTCCACGACCCCCCTTTTGCCCCTGCACTCACCTCTGGCCCCCCTCGACCCACTGGAACCCCTGCACCCCCCACAAACCCCACTTCCGTCCGGGGCGAATCGATAGTTACGGCGTTTTACGCTCAACCCGCAAACCTGATGACGAAAAGCCGTAACCCTCGACCTTCCACCGGACCTCATGCATGATTTCACGCCCCGCGTGATCTAGAAACGCGCGCTATAATTAACGCTTTAATCAACCCCTCGAAAAGTCCAGGAGACATTTCGCTCCCACCGAGGGGTAATGAATAAAATTCATTTTCGGCGCTGGGAACATTCTTTTCTAATAATTCAAGAAGGTCGGAAGTCTCCAAAATATACACTCTATTATGTCCACTGGATTGATGATGTTTTAGGGGGTTATTGATTTGTGCCCATAATTATGAAAGTGGTCTAAGTCAAAATAAAACAAAAAAAAGTGAGTTTATCAGTTATTTCACGCCATATTATTTCAAAGGAAATTAATTCAATGTAATTTCGAAACATAAAATATATGACTTAGACCACTTTCATAATTATGGGCACATTTAATGGGCTGCTTTTCAATCGTTATTAAAAATCCTGGGGCTTTTTTAATTACGCAGCGCCCACTATCTGGAAGCTATGGGAACTCCTATGAAGCTGAGGCGGAAGCTGAAGAGGAGCCTTGTTATGGGAAGAGGTGTGTCACTAACGAGCACTGCTGTCCCGGGTCTGTCTGCATCCACGTGGATGGAGGTAACTAATTATGAAAATTATTGTAATTAATTTTGAGAAATATTTATCTCTGGGGTGTGATGGTTCCTACCTCGCGTCTCTCTCATCCCTGTCCCGAGGGGCCGAAAGGTGTGTGTTTTTATTTTCCATAAACGTTCCTTCCAGTCGTGGGTTCCTGTTTCTATGCGTATGGCCTGAAGCAAGGGGAACTCTGCAGGAGGGACAACGACTGCGAGACGGGCCTGGTGTGCGCCGATGTCGTTGGTGGAGAAACGCGCTCCTGTCAACCCCCCGTCACCTCCAACAAACAATACAGTGCGTGAACGTCTCTGAAAAAAAAAAAAAAAAAAATTATACACGGCGCCAAAAAAATATATAATTAATAAAAACGCCTCATGATCGCCGATTTCCAGGTGAGGAGTGCAACATGTCCGGCGAGTGCGAGATCGGTCGAGGTCTGTGCTGTCAACTGCAACGACGTCATCGGCAGACCCCGAGAAAGGTAGTTGACAGCTGCCAAGTGGCCCCAGAAAAATGATCTGAAAATCATACCGAAGAGATGTATTTTTAATTCGAAGAATAATTATTCTATGAATTACCGAAATATTTCTGGCGTACCTGTGGAAAATAAATATCAGTGAGCTAATGCGCGTCTTTTTTTGTTCCAGGTCTGTTCGTACTTCAAGGACCCCCTGGTGTGCATCGGGCCGGTGGCGATCGACCAGGTGAAGTCGATCGTCCAGTACACCTCGGGGGAGAAGCGCATTACCGGCCAGGGTAACCGCATCTTCAAGAGGACCCCTTTCGCCTAAGTCCTCCACCCTGAAGAGGTCCTTCTTCGGGGTCGGAGTCACGGAGTCACGTTCCATTCGGTCGTCACGAGTCCACCTTCGACGTCGATTAATTTGCGCCGATATATCTCTACATTGGTTCCGCTGGTACACGTTATAACTAATTAACAATTAGTAGGGATTATTTACACCGGGGGATGGCGAGGACTCTTCCAACATTTCTGACACTGCGACTGAGAGATACAACACATATCAAAGCGAGGGGTCCTTATCGAGGACTCCTTGCGCCTAGATAAGTCATCACGTCGAGGAAACGATCGACGCACAAAACGCCAAAGGGTGATATATACATATATATATATATTGTTAGTGGTTCGATTGAAAATTCTCTATACTCTATTTTCGAGTACGTTGACACTTTCCTACGTGGACTTTTCCGGGGAAAAGTCGAAGCCGATGAAGACGCTTCGCCGGGGCGTCTTCGGAAGATGCGAGTATTTATTAACTATTATTATTAGGAGGCTTGCGATCTTCTGACTCTTTTTTATCTGGGAGCCTTGAGATGTCAGGGGTACCTTGATTGAGTCGTTATCGATACCGGATATCGAGGAAATTTTATTCGAAATATTTTACCTCGCACTAGTCACGTCGTGAATGGCGTCTAACTTCTTTCGTCCATTGTGATATTTTCCAGGGTGGGTTTTGTTTATAATTGTAGGAGTTATTTAAATTACGTTAATCACTGCGAGATGGCGTGACAAAGGCTTGCATGAATAATTTTACATTCGTTTTACGAGACCCGGTAGACTCGCTCGTTGCTTTTTACAAGTCCCTGGGGCACGAGGGGTGAGAAATTGCAAACGACGCACAATGACGCATTAAGGCGGTGCGAAAGTGGGGCTGAGGGTCCTTGTGAAGCTTTCTTCCAAATTGGATCGGCCGAATCCTTTGAAACTCCACAACGAAAATGTAGAAACCATAAGGAAGGTCCTGGCGCCCGTGAAATTTCAAGTTTTTTCAAATTTCTTTATAGACGCTTTGAAATTTTATGAAAAATGAAATTTTACGGGAGTCGGGACCTTCTTTATGGCTTCCATGTTCAGGCTGTAGAGTTTGAAATGATTCGGTAGACCCAGTTTGGAGAAAAGTCTCACGAACGTTTGAACCCTCAGGTGGCACTTTCGTACCCCCTTAACGCGCTCCCTAGACCTTCCAAGGGCAAGAAGCGATTCATTAAATTCCCGATTACTGGAGTTAATTTTTAATCCTTCATTCCGTGGCTCGTGACTGTTAAAACGAGTCCTCGAGGAGAGCGACCTCATCTTGCACCAGGACACCATGGGTCCCAGAAATCGGAACCGCACCTCCTCTCATTGCCGAACCGGAAGAGCTATTTTAATTACGATTAAGCGGTCGACAAGTCGCTCCCATAATTTACCCGAATCCTCCCGAAATGCCGGTATATTTTTGCAAGGTACTTCCACCCTGGCGAGAATTATTAATCGCCCATGAAAGTGACACCGTGACTGATTCCTGGGACCCACGTTTAAGGGGGTACGAAAATGGCACCTTCGAGATCATTCATGAAACTTCTCCGAACCGAATATACCAAATCGTTTCAAACTTTCCACCGTGAATACGAAGACTATAAGGAAGGTCCCAGCCCCCATGAAATTTCATTTTTTACAAAAAATGTCACAAATGACTATAAACAAATTTGGAAAAAATCGAAATTCCATGGATGTCAGGACCTTTCTTATAGTATACATGGTGACGTTGTAAAGTTTTAAACTATTTCGTAGACCCAGTCCGGAGGAAAGTTTCGAAAAGAAGATTTTGTTGACGCCACTTTCGCACCGCCTTAATGCTAGTCGTGATAAGAACTATGTCTAGGTGCGCGAAGAGCTCGCTCTTAGTGTATCCCTGTTTTTGAGTTGAAAAAAAAAACACCAAAACTCGAATTTTAGTGGACTAGTAAGGCTAAACGGCAGGATTCTCCGTGGATGAGCCTCGCAATAGTGATCTCGGCGTTTCCTGCGCGCACCCTCGCGGCGGGAATACAAATTAAAGGGAAAGTAAATACCTATATCGATACATATCACGCGAATGCCTAAAGCATTGTAAGAGTTTTAAATATGAATGTTACGGCGAGTATAATATTCTATTGGAGCTATATTTTTATCTTCAATCCCCGTGTGTACGTACGTATGTGTAAGTTAACCTCGACTATACTTTAGTCCATACAGATCCCGGTACACGCACACAAACCCCGGATACATGCCGTATATATGTAGGGCCAAAAGGGTTTAAAGCCGACAAGGCTCGAGTCGAAAGTACCTCTGTCTTTTAACGTGCGACCCACCTACACACGTGAATGTGCAAGTGACACATACGTACGACGTTGCGTACGGTGTACCTACATGTAGATACAATGTTCACGATTCTAATGTTAACGAGTTAAGAACTTCGGTGTGAAATACATAATCCTGCACTGCACGTATGCTTTCTCATTGACATTTCGAATATTTGACATCTCTCCTCGACAATGACATGTCTAGGTACAGGTCGAAACTGACCTCTCAGGTGTTTGGGCTCTGCTCATAAATAAATACATAATATGTATGTATATAAATACATGAGAATCGGCAAAGGAACTCTAGATCAAGGATCACCTTTTGGTATATACAAAGTGAGTTGTCAAAATTCCGGCAAGTTGTAGAAATTCCCTCGCTACGGACAATGTTCAGGAGGAACTCGGCGGTGGTAATTATTTTCTGGCTGATCGAATTAAATTCCTGCAGTTCGGATTGCTTCACCCCTTGGGGTAGTCCGGGTGTTTGCAAAAATATTAAACAATGCGAGCCGATGTTGGGCTTGTTGAAGAGGAGGCCTCTTTCCGAAGAAGCCTTGAACGTTTTGAAAAGTGCTCAGTGCGGATTCGAAGGCATGGATCCGAAGGTGTGCTGCAGGTTGCAGAGAAATGCATCGGCTGTTGTTGTCACACCTGGATCAGCTGATCGGCTCCAAACCGCCTCCTCTACTCCAAGAATAGACGTCGTAAATTCGCATCCAAATCTGAGACTCCTGGATGACGAAATCTGCGGCCCGATTGCGGAAGACAGGATTTTCGGGGGCAGTCGAGCCGCGGTTTTCGAATTCCCGTGGATGGCTCTCCTGGCTTACGACATTGGGAAACGACGCCCTGAGTTCAGGTGTGGAGCCTCTCTGATTAACAGGAGGTACCTGCTCACAGCTGCCCACTGCGTCACCTCCCTTCCTTCGAGTTGGTAGCTCCACTTTCTGTGAAAATATAAAATTTCATGAGTACCTTCTCAGCGCGCAAAATATTACCCATAAAAAATTAAAAATCAAGGAATTCAAAATTTCAGACCTGAGGCTCATCAGCGCGAGAATCGGAGACCTGGACTTGTCAACGGACCGAGATTGCGACCTCGCTGAGAGCTCTCATAAAATAAACTGTGCCGACAAACACGAAGACGTCGGCATCGAGAGGGTCCACGTGCATCCCGAGTTCTCTCGGGAGAAGTTGCACAACGACATAGCCCTGATAAGGATGCGACGAGACGTGGAATTTCGCTCGAGAAATATTCGCCCAATTTGCCTGCCAATTGGTCCCGCGGCGATTTTGAAAAGCAAAAAAGTCACGGTGACAGGATGGGGCGCCACGGAAAATTCAACGAGGAGTTCCGAGCTCCTTAAGGTCGAATTACCCGTAGTGGATATTACAAAATGTGCCAGAGCCTACCAGAGCACTTCCATCAGGATCTGGCACAAGCATTTGTGTGCCGGTGGTTCGAATAAAATGGACTCCTGCTCAGGAGACAGTGGAGGACCTCTTCAGGCTTTGAGTTTTGTGCAGGGTTCCCCTAAGGTAATCCAATATGGCGTCGTGAGCTTCGGGCCTCAGAGTTGCGGGGTCGAAGGACTCCCTGGAGTCTACACCAGGGTCGCTTACTACATTCGCTGGATCCTGGATACGATTTATGAATAGTCATTTAATTTCTACGATTATTTGCTATTTTACCCCGTGGAAATCGGCTCTAGAAAGTCCGAAATGCGTTTTATTGCCCGGATTTTTTTAACGATGCGCCATACTGGGCCGGCCGCCATCTTGGATTTCTAATGCAGAAGGCCTCTCGTAAATTTGTATATTATATTTTATGCGTATGACAGTATGGATTCGTGCCTGCATGCACACGTTTTATATACTGACATAAATTCTTGCTTTTATTGACAATATGGCGAGCCTTTCGTCGCACATTCGCCCACAATTATGCATTGGTAAACGACGTATCGAGTGTTCGACCCGTCGAGGTCGTAACAGATAACCTACGTGGGTCTCTTTACTTTACACGCGCTTGTCTTATTTCGCCGTGGCGCACAGTGGGTGTCATAATAAAATCGGTGACGGAAATTCGGCGTCTCAGTTGAAAACTGAAGGTAATTATTTATAGTCTAGGCTTCTTACTGTGAGATAAAGTGAAACGAATCGAGCCGCTCGGTCTACGTGAATCTGATACTAATCTGGCATTAATTGCGCGAAGAGGTACAGATCAATTCAGATTTTGTCATTGCAGCTCAGCTTGAGGTAAACGCGAAACTTTTTACCCTGTATTCTTACGTCCTCTACCGTTTCCTTTCCTTTCTCTTCTAGTTGTCTTCCGGACACCTGGATTCTTGAATCTCCTGTGATAAAGCCGACGTATTTATAAAAATCAGGTATTACATACGTACCTCCGGATGGGAATAAATATTTATATGGTTTTCTTTTACATAAAAGTCTTTTCTTACCCGGTCGCGTCGTTCCCCGTATTTTGACCAGAACGTGACGGAACATAACGATTTCTGGCCCGTTTGTTTATTAAACACTGAACATTTCGAAAATGGCGGCGAGTAGAGGTGAAGAGAGACTGCAGGGTTCACTGTGCTAGGGTTCTCCACTCGATGAATTCCCATGGAGTCTAAAATCGAAAATAATTAAAAAGTAATTAAACAAATATATATATCCTCAATTAAAACCTCTAAATAAATATAAATCATAAATTACCATTGATATAACAAATGTCGTTTAGTTTAAGAGTGCTGCATTCGATTTCTCGGAGCTTTTCGACGTTTTCCGTGCTGGAGTCGCAATCTTCCGAAGGCCACTCGTACTTAGTCTGATAAACAATAAGCAATTAATAAATTCCCCTAAATGAGCATATTTAAATCTAAAAGGAGTAATTTTTACAAAACGTTAGACCTCGCACAGTTCTCCCTGCAGGACCTTCATCACGCAATGTGCATTTGCATGGTCATGGATTGCAGAACCATGACCCTCTCCCCAACATAAAACCATAAGGTTGAATCGTCCATTGCCCTCGTCCACCAAATTCCTCGTGTACCTGAAAGACGAAGTGGAAAAAATGTTAACTAGATCGATAACGGCACATCTGATAATATCAAGCGCGTCTCAGGACTCTTAGTTACGGAGAAAGAGAAAAATATTACTGAGTAACTAGCGGTAAATCTGATAAAATCGTTTATAGGGTATTTTAGTTCATGCCTCGTTGTAATGTCCTCTCCGAGGCTTGTTCAGTTTCAGGTTTTTTTATTTTACATACAATGCACCTTTCCCTGAGCGAGGCGGCGCCTTTGATCCCCGCCACGCGGCCATCTTGTCCGCTCCGTTCTAAAGGAAAGGTCCTTACAGTCTAACCAGCAATTTCTTTTCCGCCAATTTCCGTGCTTCGAATCGTTAGACAGGTAAATGTACTCGTTATGTGCCCACCTGGGCATTAGTCAGTGACTAACTGTGCACAGGCTGGCACGGGAGGAGTTTACACTCGTTCTTCTTCGGAATGTTTTGCCGTGAAACTTCTGAGAAACTTTTACCCCGAATTTCCTGACGGAACTTATTACTACCGAGGCTCATTTTATACCTATATTTATCTTGTAATTCCTAACTCTCGTTTATGTACGCAAGTATTTATCTTTTTATTTATCGCAGCTATCTTGACTAGTATACCACGGCATGACTTCAGCAGTACATGTAATATTAGCTGTTCTTATTTTTAAATGTGACAGGAGCATTGAAGGTTTTCTCTTTCCTTTTTTCCGAGGTAAGAGTTAATTCCTCACGGCTACAACCTGTTTAAAAGTAATGATATTGCTCCGTGTGCAACCGGGTGAGGAAATTAGTGTCTTTAGTGAGGAATTTGTGCTGCGAAACTCGAAGCAGCGCTTCCGTCCGCCATTTTGATCGCGTTAGAATCCCAAAGAAATTATTTGCGCGTTAAACTTGCATTAGACGAAACAATTAATACGATAACACGATTGGCATGAGATGTGTAACAATTATTATCGTAAAGCTTTAATGAAGAATTTCTTGAATGTGATTTCTCTCTCGAGCGATGTGTCGGGAGAAGTAACAAGGAAATATTCGCAAGAATAAGACGATAACCTAAACGAACTCGCGTAGTGTTATTCCCGATTGTGTCACTCGTCAAAGTGACGCATGTATTGTGTAAAACAAGATATTAAAATTTAATCTAGCCACGAGAATATTCTCTGTAACTTCCCATTATTGTCCCGAGGGAGAATTCATTCAGCGGCGCAGACGTTTCTTTTTAATTCTCGACTTTCTAAGTCTGCTTATCGAATATACAAAAATTCAATTTTTAACGTCCAAGTATAATTCATTAATCCTTATCTCTAATCAAACTGACCCCCGACCGTCCTAATCACCGATATAAATTACGGTGGAGATAACATCGAATTTTTAATTCTTCATTACTGAAATATTTAACGGGTCACAAAATTAAATCCTCACATCCCTATACAAGCACTTCTTGAAAGATCCTTGAAAGCACTTTCTCAAAATCTCCTGACCGTTCAAGTCCTGCTATAAAAGAAAAAAGGAACGTGTTAAAATATCGGAACAAAATACTGGAAACCTGTATCTATCAAATTTCGCGTATTTCCTCCACTCCAGAGGATTGCTCCTGTAGGCTGCCATAAGGTCCTTGACATGGTCGATGTTGACAATGTCCGTGTCAAAGGCTTCGTATAAATGTTCGATGAGTTCCTGCAGGGTCAAATTTTTTTCCAGTCGCACCGGGTGCATCTTCGAGGCAGGAAAATGCATCCTCGCGGGATAAGGGCAGATTTTTGCCTCCTGCATCTTCCCCAGGGATGAAAATCGAACTCCACTTCGCGATCCTCTTCTCAGACCATCGACGCACCGCCGGAAACTTCTTACAGAACAGATATTACTTTATATATCTTATATTAAATTAAATAAATCGGTCTAAAAACACTTTTTTCTTCAGCCGAGAATGTCACAGAACTATCGGGAACGAGCGGGTGCACTCAACAGACGAACTGCTGCTTCAAGTCTGACACCGGTCTCCAGCTCAACATCTTATAGCTGCGTAGGTCTCCCTACTCTTCTGAAGAAACCCAAAGCGATTTACAGGGCTACAAGATGAGGACGGTGGCAGCTGCAGCGACGAAGACTGTTGGGGTGCACCGCCCTGACCTGGGTCAAGGCGAATGCATGCACTCCATTGACTGATTGCACTTCACTGCGTCTCCTCTTGAAAATAATTTTTATTCCGAGAAATCCCTTAATCCACGAGAAAATGATTTTTAAATTGAATTAACGTTTAAATGAATCCACGGGATAATTATATATATACGTATAGACAAACACCGAGCAAATATACATTGTTTTACAACGCACGTTTTCTTCCCATTTATCTACCGGTAATTAAAAAATGGGGCCCACTCTCTGGCGAACGCAGTAAATGGGACCTCTTCGGGTTTTGGGCCGGTCTTTTATTTCTGCATACTCTTCTTGGATGTAAGGACAAGGCACGATCTTCTCTCCCGTTCCTTTCCGTTTCGGACACCTAATGAATCGATGAGAAAATTGTCTTGGAGGGTCAACACTTCCGGTACGATTTTTCTTTAGAATACGTGAGAAAATTTCATTGCATAGGATCACCTGCAAGGAGACGCTTTGCAGAAGCAACAAGTGGTCCGAGGCTCGTCTTTCGATGGCATTCTTCGACATCTACATGGAGAAGACTCGCAGGTGTTGCACTTTTCAAGAGGTGTCAAGGATGAGATCCTGCGACGTTCCGATGATCGAGGACTGGAATTGCATTGGCAAGGTCCTTGAGGAGATTTATCTCCTGCTCTCTTCTGCTGGAAACCTAGACTTCTTCCTCGGGGACTGAAAAATCGAAATGAAGGATCAACTTACGGTATGTACTAATAAATTAATAATAAAATCAATTCGAAAACATTTCTCCAGAACCTGAGTCGAGTCTTCTGGCCGACTTCTTCGTCGCAGCAGCAAGGTCGTCGTCTGCAGGTGCAGCAAACGGAGGAGCTGATTTTCTGCTGAAGCTCATTAAGCACCTCGGAAAAGACATTCAAGCTCTGATAGGAAAGCTCTTCGGCTCCTCTTGGCTTGACTTCGTCTCGGAATCTGGACTTGTCGAAGCATCTGCACTCTTCGGCTCCATCTTCGTCGTCTTCCTGGATGTTCTTCAGGTCCCTCGCGAAGTACTTGCTGACTTCTTCTCTCGGCTTCCAGGCGGTGACTCGAATGGCCGGGAATTTTTTCAAGTTGCCTGGAGATGATCTCTCCGTGTCATTAGACACCTTGTTTCGAAGACAGTCGCAAATGTCAACAGGCATGCGACAACAGGAGCACCTACTAACTGGTGCTCTACAGGTGCACCTGCTGTGGGGATTGCAGCAATGTCTGCAAGTCTGTTCCTCTAAAAAATTATTCCTCGGTTTGTCAATTAATTCCCGCTCGCACTTTGCAGGGCAACGTTGAAGAGGATGCACTTTTTCCTGTATGCAAGTCTCATTTCTCCGCTGCATTTCCTGTTTCTTCACCTGGGAGGGCAAAATGCAGCTGGTGGAGTCGATGTTGGGGTTGCAGCAAGGTCTGCAGCAACTTTCTTCAACGTCTCCGTGAGCTCTGCAAGTAGTAGAAATTTTATTCGGATAATTAATTTGATCGTTGCAGCGAGAATTGCAATCACAATCCGGCTCCTCTTCCCTCTTCCTCTTGTCCTGCGTTATGCATTCTGGTTGCACTATTTTTGCATTTATACAAATCGAAGGAATCTCGGCAGATATGCACTTGCAATTTATTTCAAGTTCCTTGGACTTTTCTGGCGTCTCTGAAGAATTTTTTACCCCCTCTTCTGGAGTATCCTCCCCTTGCAATTCTTCTAGATCTTTTTTCTCGACTTCTTCCGACGTTTCTTTTTGATTCTCGTTAATGTTTCTCTGAGATGGAGTCATTTTCTCGATATCCTCGTTGCTGGACTTTTGGGTGGATTGTGCTGAAGCTTTTTTTCGAGCAATAATTGCTGCCAGCTTCGACCTTGATCGCCTTTCTTGGTTGAAACTGCTCACGCTTCTTTGCACTGCACTCGATATGATTTCTTCCTTTTTATTCGAGTCATTAGATGATTCTGATTTATCTTCGCCTTTTGACATTTTTCCTGAGGTTTCTTCGGAGGTATTTTTCAAAGTGTTTTCAGTTTTTGGAGGCGTTGAGTCCTGTGTGGCTCTTTTCAATGCGCTGCAGGTCGGAGAACATCCTCTCTTTTTCTTTTCTGGTATCTCCGCAGGGTCTGAAAAAATGCTCTTGGTCTTCGTCATCAACTCGGAAGCCCTTCGAAATGATCTTTGCAAAAATGAACCTCTTTTTTCTTTTGAATCCTCTTTTCCCTCTGCTGTATCTTTAGGCGTGTCTTCTTTTTCTATTTGCAAGTCTGTCTTCACATTTTTCTCCTCGTTAGTCCCTGAAGAGTCCCTTTCATTCTTCCTTTTAGAAGGACTAATGTCTCCTTCTTTCTTCTCCTTGGCTGAAATCGAGAAGACCTTAGAATTTCCCTTCGGCGATTTTTTTCCTTTTTCCTCTGGATTTATTTTTACAGACGAGGACTTTTCTTCATCTTTTACATCTTCACTCTTCTTCGGATCCTCTTCGGATTCTTTTATTTTTTCCTCCGCATTTATTTTTACAGATGAGGATTTTTCTTCATCTTTTACATCTTCACTCTTCTTCGGGTCCTCTTCGGATTTTTCTTGAGATTCCTTCAGGTCTACGATTTTTACACTCACAGGTTTACTCGTTGTTTGCTGATTATCCATGCAACACTCTTCCTTGACCTCTTCAAGATTGCATTCGTTATTAAAACATGGTTTTATATCCATTTCTTCATTTCTTTTCTCTTCATCCACCTCTTCAGCCTCCACTCGTCCTTGACAGAGCCTCGAAATTGTTGAAGAGTCTCTTTTCTTGAAACAACGGCAAATTGATTCAGGAGGTTTTTTGAGAGAAATTTGACTAGGAGGAGCATTGACACAATACGACCCTGGCTCGAGAGATCTTTTGACTTCGTTCCTTCTTCCTCGATTAACGCAACGCGTCTTCGTCTTCTCTTCAGGGTGTACGTAAGGATATTTTCTAAAATTTTCGAAAAATGCATTTTCGCTGTCACGGTTCATATAATTATCCTCACTGGAGTCATACGGAACGAATGTCGGAAGCTTCTGCTCGTCAAGCCTTGAATCATACCTCTGGAAGTAAGAAGGACACGTTGCCTCCTTGACGACCTCTTCGGGTCCATTGTCAGAAGCTGTAAACCTGGATCGAGGGGTGAGAACTGAAAATGCATCCGAAGGGAACTGATTTCCCTCCACGCTGGATTGACAGTAACAGCCGAATCTGCTCGTCGACAAAGATTTCCCATCTTCGAGGCTGTCTTCAGCACTCAATGTTTGGCAAAGACACAAAGTCGCATCGGACTTCTTCTCCTCGGAGAAAAAATCCGAAGCGTCTCCTCCATCGCATAAGCACGTCGCCTGGGTCTCTTCGTCTTCTTCCTGGATCTCGCCTTGGATTTTGGAATTCTTCCTGTTGCGTTTCTTCAACAAGGCGTCTATCAATTTATTCGTCGATGTACTCGAGGTACTCACGCTCTCGTTGGTCTCGGTAACCGAAGAGGAGCATTCTTCCATCTCCTTCTTCTTCGGTTTCTTGGCCACATTTTCGGTAGCCTCGGAACAGATGTAGATGTTGACATTCCCCGTCATCTTCCGATTGTCCATCTTGTCAACTCGCTTCTTGGACTTCTTCGACCTCTTCTTCGGGTCGACTTTCGGCGTCGCCGGAGGGAGACAAATTATTTTCGGCATTTTCTTGGAATACGGACGCGCGATCGACTTATCCTGAATGTCGTCGATCATTTTCCGTCCCGAGAGCTTTTCAGTGGTCGATCGAGATCGAGATCTTCGTCTCTTTCCTAAAAAGTGGGAGTCGAACGTCTTGTCGGAGAGCAAGGAAGGCTTCTTCGACTTATTTTCGTTCCCTTCTTTTTGAGTGCCCTCGCACTCGTCGGATTTCTTCTTCTTGACTGGACTTGGCTCATCTTCCTGGCGAGTGGTCTCTTTAACTATACTTTGGACAGCTTCCTTGATGGAGTTGTTGATGAGCTCCGTCAGCTTCGCCGAGCAAAGATCATCTTCGGGGAACTTCTTGCAGTTCGGCTCGCTCTTCTCTTCTTCCACTTCCTTCGCGTCGATTTTCTTCTCCTGCATCTCTTCCGCGATTCTTCTTAAGTCTTCTTCCAGTTTCTTCTTCTCTTCCTTGCATTTCTCATCCTGCTCTGTTTGGGCTTCCTTGGTCTCGCTGATTACTGGAGGAGCTTCTTCAGGACGCTTCTTCATCGTGGACAAAGACGGTTCCTGGATCCCTCGACAATCCCTTCTACATGCTCTTTCTGGTTCCCGATCTCTAGACTTTTCTCGTGGATTGAAGAATTTGTCAAAATGCTTCAAAACGTAGGACTTTTTTCGCTCCCTCGGTTCCTCCTTTTTCTTATCGCTCTCTTCATATTTTCGCCGGCGAGATTCATCATTAGAAATGTGAGCCACTTCTTGTACATTTATCAACATCTCGTGTCATGTCGCAATGTGAGACGAGGCTTTGACTTGCGATGGCCTCGACCTGCCGATTGTTGTGTAGGAAACTCTGGAGATCCAGTATCACTGAAGTGGTACGATACTAATTAGGATATCTCATAAAACTGAGAAGAACGGAGATTAACGAGTACCTTAATATCTACAATATTTTACGTGGACCTGGTTTTCTAGATTTTCCGCCTTCCTCAACATCCCGATTTCTCCGAGCCTGCCAGAATTTGAGCGGCAATCTTTTTCACTTATAAATCTACACTTCGAATTTTGACAGGCCGATCCCCTCAAGATGGGTCGGCCATTTTGGAAAGAGAAGACAAATGAAATATATCTCTCGACCGTGGAAAAAATTCATTTACGCTCGCCTTATCAGATGGAAAATCAAGTTTATCGTGTTTCTTTGACATGACGAGTTGCTTCATCGACGTGTCTTCTTTCTTTGGACTTAACCACGGAGCTTTGGCTTCTACGTCCCAATTTTTGAGGCGTTTGTTGCATCGCCACACTCTGCGTTGGCTGAGGATAGGTAAAAATATAATGATTCAATTTTCATATTTTACCCGGTGTGTGAATAGTTAAGGGCATACAAGCTTTCCTGTTCCTCTTCCGAAGATCGAAGAAAACACGATATTCGCAGCCTTAGCCAAATTTTTTATCACCGGAGGTGGGGAAAATTCGGGAGTGCTTTTAATGGTCTCACAAGTGCCGAGGTTGCCTCTTTTATTTCTTTCTTCAGCTCTTTCGTTTTCACCCGCAAATTGAGTTCTAGTCTTCTTCTCGCTTTCCACTCCCTACAGAAAGGATTAATATATTATTGCACGTCCATTTCTTTTATTATTAATATTCATACAACGGGATTAAAGTGATTACAGAGGGGCGTCGATCCGTCTCATCCCGACGATGAGACCTTCGATGTTTCTGATGAGGTAAGCTTCCTTCTCGAGAAAGCGGCTCTACTCTTCTACTTCTATACCTGACTTCTCGAAGAAAGCCAGAGTCCGTCTCATCAAGCTGCGGTTTCATGAAATTCGGCTCGTACCTGAACGTGGAAAAATGATTTCAATATTTTCCTATCATAATTAATCACAGGGGAATTAATTAGACGAATCTACTTCACCTTACAGAGATCCCTTGACTGACGGTCCCGCAAATCGGAATTTTCCTACCACAACAGTCTCGCACTGAGCTGAAACACCCAAAGAAATCCCATTAAAACTCAATTTACGATTTAGGAATAAAATCCAGTCAAGGATAATTATTTACTTCGAAACGCAGCTTCGTTGTCCATACATGACGAGTCCACAACACGCGACGTTTTCGTTTTGCGGTGGGAAAAATCCCCTAGAGGTCTGGATTTCGGGATCTACGCAAACTCGACGAAAAGTCGGAGACGTTGGGCTCTTTTGGAGACAATAATTCCCCCTATCTGGGCACAAAGACCTACTAGAAGAATCCCTTTCAGGTGGGGAATGATCTCGAGCCCTGAAGTGATGTTCTTTCCCCATAGAATTTGAGTTCCCGTATCGGTCACCGCATCTTCTCAACGACGCTGAAGTACTTCGACAGAAACTAGGGTCCCTATTTGCTGAAGAATCGTACCGAGTTTCACATTCAGCATCGTTTTCGCATTCAATCCTATCGCGAGTCGTCCATTTCGGATAATTCATCCTTGAAAGATGTCTTTTTTGGTGCCATTGTCGACGACGCTCCAGTTCTTCGGCTTGATCTCTTCGTCCGTCGATATGAAACATTGCTGTGTCGTTATCTCGCAGGTCGGCCAGCAAATAATTCCGTCTGTTAGGTTTCCTATCCTGGGACGATAGCGCATCGCGAGGATTCTCGTGGATTTTCCTAAAATATTCGGAAATTCGCGTTTGCGAAGCCAGGAATTCCTCGTCGGGGTATGTGGGATTTTTCTGCTTGCATGTCTCGCAAGCGAAAGAGGAGGTAGAGCTTTGAGAGGGGAAATTGAAATCCCTGATTTCGGGAATTCCCTTCTGGCTCGATGAGTTAGATGTTCTTGGAGTTCCCGAGGAGAGGAGCCGGTCTGCATGTTTCTTATGACTCGATCTGTGTCGTATGATTTTTTCGGGATTTTCCGCAGAATGGGGACACTGCTCGGGAGACTCACCTCGAGCTGGCTTGACACACTCTTTCGATAGCAATTGCTTGGCATGCCGCTTGCAGAGTGCTTTCGAAGAGCAGTTATTCAGTCGACTTAGCAGCATGCTTCCTAGCAGCTCTCTTTCCGCCGCAGAATCCACTTTGCACCTGAAAATATCAATAGATTTAGTAAGACAATCGGTAGACTTTTTTCCTCTTTACCTTAGAAGAGTATCTTCCAATTTTCTGACCGCATCCTGAAAGCTAATCGGGATCTGTGGTCGAGTAGAGATCGAGCGCGACTCTCTATCGTTCGGAATATCTCTCTTCGGGCTTTCTAGGTTTTCGCAAAATTTTGACGCTTCGTTTCCTAACTCTTTCTTCAGGGAACAAACGTTAGTGACGGAAGAAATTAATTTCCTGGGGCTCAGGATTTCCTGGGCACTGTACGCGCTGCTTCCTTTGTCCTCGTCGGTTCTGCTCGACGATGGGGTTGCATTTCCTTCTCTGATAGTTCCCAATGGAACTGCTTTCTCGGAAGAAATAATAGACCCCGAAAATCTCTGCCCAATCCTCGAGGAAGCACCAGATGACTGATCGTTCGCGATTGCAAATTCCAACGGCTTTGAAATCGGAGTCTGCAGATTGGACACCACCTGGTCTGATCTCGTAATGCTCACAACTGGCTGAGCTCTCTTCTTCATTATTTTTTTGGTAATTTTACTCAGAAGAGAGGTGCGCTTCTTCTTCAAAGGTGTCTGGACAGGAGTCGAAATTTCTTCAGCTATGACAGCGTTCAATGAAGATCCATTTTCTACTCTAGGGGTTGACCGAACTGTCGCAGATCCTTCTTTCAGAAAATCAACTATTGTGCCGTTGGAAAAATTCTGATACTCTTCAGGTTTTACATTTGTACTCTTTTCGACTTCCTCGGTTTTCAAAGGCTGTGCTAAAACCTGGATTTTCATGCTGTAGCCTTGACTTGAGCTCATTGGCTGCGTAGGCAATGTAATTAATTGGTTCGATGCTCTGACAGATCCTTGAGTTGCATTCGGGAGCAGAGAATAATTTTTCTGAGACTCTCCATCAGCATCAGGGACCGTTCCTTGATTTTGGGTAATATAGGTCGACGGATAATTCATGATCTGATAGTCAAAAGGGTTTTGATAGACGACATTGCTCGATTGACAGCCAGGTGGAAATCCCTGCTGGTCGTTCACTCTCAATTTTGGAAAATCGTCAATTTGTGACAAAGTGTATCTGAAAGTGCAATAAAAAATATCATGGAGAAAACCGAAGAACATTTATAAATATTTCCCTTACCTCTGAAGGCGACGTCGATTCTCCTCTTCGGGAAAGAATGGTTTCTTATCTCTGAGGGGGTTGCGGGTTCTTCTGAAGAAACCATTCCCTCGAGGAGATCTCCTCATTCTCGGAGCTAATGGATTAGGCAAACTCAGCTGAGGCAACGATCTGGCAATATTGTTCGTCAGCTCTGGAAGCTGAGGAATGGGTACCGACTCTGTATAATAAATGTTATAAACCGGAGTTTGACAGGCCATCATCTGTCTCTTCAGCTTGCGTCGTTCGACCAAAGTTGGCATCCTGAAATCACCGAGGTGTTTCGCTCTCTTCTTGAGTGTCCCCAATTTTCCTGGAAGGCGACCTGCTGGTCACTTTTCTCTTCGGATGCTGTGACACTGGAGATGACATCTCACTAGCCGATTCGCTGGTGAACAGCTGATCCTCGGTAGACCACTCTTCCATGCGAACTGCACTTATGCTGGAACACCCTCTGCACTTCCGCTGTGTTTTCTGCTTGCTTGACTAACAATTTCGGAATAGTTAGAATATTCCGCACAGTTGAATGATCGCAATACTCTGAACGTACACATCTTTTAAATTTGTTAACCAAATAATCCGAGGTTATGTCTAAATGACTTGTGGTCTTTCGAAATGCCACCTGGCTTACTAAGTCACTTATCAGCAAAATCACTCTTAGACAATCTGTTTTAATGCTTAATTCATAACACTTATATATTTTCAGCCGAATGCATCGCGTAAAGCAGCACGTACAGAGAACACTGAAATTTTTTAATGTCAGAAACAATCGAAATTAGATTTTGAAAAAATTGATAAACAACTTCAAGTGGCTAAATGACGTCTATGCAGTTTCACGGATCTCTGGCTTAATTCTGTTTTACCTTGTTAATGTTTCGGTACAACTAAGAAAATGTTTAAACGTGTAAATTACCTTGAATATTCTGAGTATCTTGTTCGTGATCTTTGAAATGGTACTGCCTTTTTGCTTCTTTTCTTCTTTGGGGAAAAGCTGTTTCACATCTTTGTTTCCTTCGATATCTTCAGAAGCCGATACTAACGGTTCAGTTTCTTGAGGATCCTCTTCGGGCTGAGCCTTTTGACGATACTCATGTACCAAATCTTTGAACGCCTGAGTTTCTTGATACGGAAGAGTATGTCCATGATCCTAATAAAACAGTAATTTTAGGAAAACGAATTGTTTTAGAATTTTATAAATAAATCTGTAATAAATAATTAACTACCCTGGAGGATTTTAGGAAAGCTTCGCGATGTCCTGGGGATTCTTCTTCAGTGAGTCTTGGACTTCCTGGAGAATCCCTTCTCGCTTCGACGTCAATTTCTTTAACTTCTCGAGCTTGTATCAATTTTATTCTGTCGTGTTCTTTGAGCTCCTCAATTAATCCTGGAGTTTGGAACATTGGTAGATACTTTCGTAGCACTGGGATGTCATGTTTCCTTGAATAATTGCGAGTCTCATATCTTTGATGTCTCGGAGGATAATGAACTGGTACTTCCGGGATATTTCTTGACCTTCTATAATCAACACGAGGTCTTAGGATTTTCCTATTTGTCTCACATAAGCATCGTAGACTATTATCATGCCACTCTTCGGAATCATATCTAAAATCACATCGATAGGCATCATGCCTTAATTTTGTATAGTCTTCAGTTGTTCGATGCTGCAAAAGTTTTTCTTCAGGGTGATAATCGAGGTGCCTACACTCTTCAGAGCAATGTCGAGGTCGTGTTTCATTATCTGAAATTCTTTCATAAGTTCCACCTACATTTTTTCTTTGCTTTTTAGAAGCTCTGCTTCGCATTTTTCGCGAGTCTTCTTTTCTGCCACTTCGTGTTGGTAGATTTCTTGAAGGAGAAGTTCTCAGCTCGCAGTAATATTCTCCGTAGTCATCGATATTGTCTCTGTAAAATGCAGAATTTTAACAAAAATAGTTATTCATATGAAATAAAGTAGTACCTTGATTTTTTTCCTCGTCTTCTATCTCTTCGTTTACGTCTTCTTTTCCTTTTTCGTCTTGACGAAGTGGCATCCACATATTTATCATCAGTACTTCCAGTCCATGTAGAAGTGCCTTCGGTGCGAGTTGTCGAAGACATTTCTGTCTCATCCTGAGACCATTGGGTCTGCGTTTCTTCAGCTCTATCTGGCAAATCCGTAGATTTGTCCATTTTTAAAGGCTTTACTTCCGATTTTTCATCGAGCTCGCTGTCCGCCGTATCTTTAATATTTTCAGACCCTACCCCTTCGTCCCTCGTACTTGGCATTATCCTTATCTTTTGCCTTTTGTGCTTCTTACTCTTTCCTTCGCTCCTACGGCCATCTGTATCACTTTTCTTCGTATCTTCTGCATAATTTTTAGGCCCTGATGAGTACCTTTCATCAAGTAATTCCAGACCTGCGTAAGGGTCATACAGATCCGGAACATCAGACTTCTGATCAACTTTCTTCTTCCTGTTATCAAAATCACTTCCCTTCCTGTTTCTCTTCGCTTTTCTTTCCGCAGCTCCTCCACTCATCCTTCTTGAAGATGCAGATGATCTTCTATTATTACCTTTTAAATAGTTTAATTCACTGATTTTCCTCTTCTTTCCTGGAGTACAAACATTTTTACACTTTGCAGTTTAATGAAGTTAATAAATAATGCATCAATTTCCCACCTCGAACGTATAGTTTCTGATCTGAAGGAAAACTAGACAAGCCAGTAACATCGACATATTCTTCAGTCTCTCCTCGAAAAGTAGAATTTTCTTTTCGGTCGCTATTAGATAACGAAATTTCGTCTCCGTTGTCTTCTTCTATTTCTCTGATATTACCTCGACACTGGACAATTCTTGGAGTTCTTTGAGTATTCAAATTGCTAATATTTTCACTAGACTCGAAGGACATTCCTACATCTGCGAACCTCTGTTCGTTCTTCTCATCGATCTCTGTGTATATAGTATCTTCAGAAATCGATTTTAAATGTCTGAAAAAAAAATAAAATTGTAAAAACTATATTTTAATTGCTATTAATAATACATAACACTCTACCTGGGTAATTCCCTCGTAGGAAACTTCCTTTCATGAGGATATTTCATTCTCCAATGATTATCATCGTGTCTTCTTGACATTTTTCTCCGATGATCTCTGTGAGAATCATAAGTTTTACAATAATCCTCATCGTAATCACTGGAATGTCTTTTTACTGGTGACAACTCATCCGAGTGCCTCGATCTAGAGTAATCCAATAAATTTCGCGTTTCTTCGTAATCGTCCAAAGAAACAGTAGAAGACGATGAAGACATCGGTGGATGTTGTTGTTCGTAAACTTCTTCAGTGTCACTCTTTACTGTTCGAATCCGCCTATAAGTTTGTAATGGGAAGGCAGATTGTTTGACACAGAGCATGTTGACTATTTTCTTCATCAGCGAGGGTTTTTTTTCCTTCTTTGTCTCTTTAGAATCACCCTAAATTCGTAATTAAAGACTATTAAATCTCGCACACGTTTCCCAATTTTTTTTTCATTACTTTTTTTCCCCCCAACCATGACACTTTTGACAGGGCAGCAATAATTTTCTTTGTCCGATGCAGCTTCCTTTCCTCTTTCGATTTGTAGCCTTCTTGATACGAATGATTAGGTTTGTCTTCAACTTCAATCTGTATCACTTCTTCTTCATCTATTTCTTCAGTGGGAAGCGACTCTGTATCTGCTATCGATGTCGATGAACTGGAAGATTCTTTACGAGGAGATGAAATAGATTTTCTCTTCAACTTTGCCCTGAGTTTTCTTCGGGCCCTTATCATGAAACAAGACGTTGGGTCCACACTGCCGGAACTGTCATAACTCGAAATAGGTTCATTAAAAATCTGGAAAGTAAAGTAGGGATACTAACAGAAATTCTACAATTTTATACACAAAAACACACCTGTATAGTAACATCATCTCTGACTTTTTGAGCCTCGATGTCTCTATATGGAATTCGCTGACATCGAAGATCAAGTTCTGTAGGGGGTCCTTCCTGGTAACCATAACTATATTTTCCGGACGAGTCTGAACTAAAATCATCTTCCATTTGTTCAACCTCGGCATCTTTTAACTCTTTTTTTATTTCATTATCTTCTCTAGATAGAAGTTCTGTTTCCGATGTCATCTCATCTTTCCTAACTTCTTCCGTTGACTTCAATTCCTTTGAACGAGGAATTTTTCCAAAATCCTCCATATCCGAGGAATCTCTTGAGGAGAAAAAAATTAGAATGTTGACTTCACTGAATAAAAATCACTGAAAGCTGTTCTCACTTTTCTTCACTCATATCTGATAGATCTCCATAATCGAGAGGTGATTTACAAATCGTGCAAGTATTTTGTAAATCAGCGAAGCACTGTACACAAAACAGGCCCACACATCCTGGAGTCGGGCATTTTATATGAGGTACATTATCTTCCCGTTCCTGGGATCCACAGAGAAGACATAAATTTTCCTTGTGTCGGAAATATTTTCCAAAAATAGGACAAGTAGCAGCAAAGCGTTCTCTCAAAGTCACTTGCTCGACATCCTTGGAACCAGCCATGCCAAACTTTCTACGCAATTGTCTTCTTGCAAACTTTAAAAAACTACTTCTAGATCTGAAAATAAATCAAGCATATTTTTTGAAAGAACATTACCAAATTAATAATTAGTCAGCAAACAAAATTATTACCTAATAATATGATTGTACAGCCAGACCGCCCTTTGCTTCGCTCTATCTGGATGATAGTAACTCATAACGACATGTCGGAGTCTCAACCCATAGGGTTCAAAGACTGCCATGATCCAGCAGAAGACTATCAATGAAATGATTTGAGTGTATCTATCAAGATCTGGAGGAACAGGATCAGGAAGACATGGCATACTGTCAATTTGCATTTCTGTATCCATTGGAGAAAATGCTGAGATAATACTCCTATATAAATCTGCGAGGTATCCATTTCCAGTCACAATGATTCCGACAGAGTTGGGTCTCTGTATTTTGGTCTCAAACCTTCCGTGATATCTGATAGTACTCAAAACCCAATAAAGACTGTAATCTGCCATCATGTGAATGCAGAGCTTGAATGTAGTCAGACTTAGGAAGACGGCAGACTTGGTCAATTTAATTTTTTCCACTCTAACAAGAGTGATTGAAGTTAAAGGGATGTACTTGCTCTTTTCTCTGGGGTTTAGTGGCAAAACCGTCTCCTTGTTCTCTCGAGATCTTCGCAAATCTATCTCTCTAAGATCATCCGTTAAATATCTGTTGTCAAAACGTTCATTTGTCAGCCATTTGTGACGGTAGTGAATTACTCTGAAAAGTAAAATTTCATCTGAGAATTTTAAATATAGAACAGAATTTTAAGTTGCCGGTAATTACCTTAGTAGCATGAATAGTATGAAAAAACTAGTTGCAAAGCTCATCCAATCGAAAACAGTTAAGAACTTGTCAGTCCTTGATCTGATCTCAGTGACGATTCCTGTAGAGATTTCCTCGAGACTCTTACTTTGGTTCGTCTCAAAGTGGAAGTCATGGGAAAACTTGACCTTCACATAAAACATTGCAGCCATGTGTTTGGTGAACTTCTCTAGCTCTAGAAATAAACTTTAGAATATTGATATCTGTCTAAAGAAATTTTTGGAGAATGCAACCTACTTCTCTGAACAGAACCAACAATGGTATCGGCAACATAGGAAACCAGCATGCAGATGAAGTCGAAAGGTTTTACAGCATAACACACGAGACCAACAACATAGGCAAGATTGCAAATTCCACCAAAAAGGGGACCGAGGCTAGCCCTGCAGTCTGCCACTGCTCCTTCGAACACTTTTTGGCATCTTTCAAACGGAGTTCCTAACTTCTTGTTGCAGACATTCACGATACTGCCCAACCACTGGAAGACGTTCTTGATAACTTTAACTAACAAATAATTTTAATTCAGCAGGAATATAATCATAGGAATTAAAAGGACTAAACGAGACACGATTTAATGTCCCCGAAGGAATAAAACTTACGTATACTGATGACTAATTTTTTCAGAGCAATGAGAGTTGCCTTAATTTTTTTTACAACCACTCTTACAGATTTAATAACTTTTGTGATGGTAGTTTTCAAAGCATAAAATGGCTGCTTAACTAGATCTACAATTGTCTTTACCGCTTCCTTCAATTGCTCCTGAAAAGGGAAGGATGATAAACACAAAGAAAACTAAATTAATATTTTTTGCAGATGTAGGTGCAAAACTACCTGTCCACATGCCAACGACTCCGACAACACTCCTGTATTATGCAAAGTGTTCTTTGCAGGTCCAGTTAATGCGAGAATAAAGGCATATGCCATCAAAGCTTGTCGTCCTCGTTTTGAGAAAAACTGTGGAAGCAACAAGAAGACCACGCATCTGAAAAAATAAAATCCTTATGGCTGGAAATTACATTGAACCAATGTTAATCATACCTAACACGATATGAAAATGCAAGTCCGATAGTCAGTACAATTCCAAAAATAGAACAGAGCATCGTGGCCGAAGATAAGGTAAAATTCAGTTGAAAGACGAAAAACATGAAGAAGACATATGTGAGCAGCATGCCACCAATGAATCCCAAAATACTCTTCAGTATAAAATTCTCAAAAGTACCATCCGTTCTTAACAATACAGCTTTCGCATGAAGCCATGAATCTTCAGGGAAGGAAGTGACGCCGTCCCACCATTCCTTCATCTTCATTCTAAACCTGCGATTGAAAAAGGTTACAAAGCGAAGGCATCACAAACTCCAAAGAAATAGGAGCCTCACATGAATTTCTTATATCGAATCCTTTGAGATATAGTATATCGTATTTTGTTTGACTCCATAGCTCTAATAGAATTCATTCTTTCGTCCTGATATCTCAACATTGCTTTCTCCAGCCTCCTGGCTTTCAAAGCCAGTTGAAAAAATGCCATTTCTCTTACAACATTAACGTTCACTAAGATGCTAAAATTAAATAAACTAAAGGTAGAAAAATCCTCTGTTCCCGGCTAATCAATGAACCTTTAAGAACAATTATTCTACAGTATCAAGTCACATGGTGACACACCATTGTCATCTGTCATAAAAACGGAAAGTGTCAAAAGATTGCATATTAACTTTTGCATTTCAAATGTTTTTAGGCATTAACTTACAAATATGTAGCGTCGTCGCGTAAAATACAAAATGTGTGCCTAATTTTGTAAACAAGATGGCGGACGTGCACGCGAGTTCGGTCGGTACTTCGATAAATGAACTTAAAGTCACCTGCTCTTTTAACTCCTTTGGTCCAGCGCACTCTAGCAAAATGGCGGGTGTCGTTGCTCGCTGTTTCCAAGTCCCGAGGAGACAATTGGGTAAACGTCAACATTGTTTTGTTTCATTAACACCTGTACTGGAAAAAAGGTTCTCAAAATTAATTTTAGCATTCGATTGTCCCATTGTCAGGCAAAGATTGAGTGACTTCTCTTGATTAACCGACGTTACCGTATTGATTCAAGATTATATAATTAAATCATATTTCCTATGTTACAGGTCTCCTTGGAACACTTTTGAACAGTTACCAGACCAGAACACTCGCTGATGCCGCTCCCGAGGGAAAGGTAGGCTTCATTTTATCAACTCTTAATTTTGCAAACATAACCTGTCTCGGGACTGATATTTTTAAGTGGCATTTACGCAATAATTCTACCGCGACGTAGAATGCAGCCGGATGACAGTTATATTGTACGGTTTCATCTGACTTTATATATCTTTCAGAAAGTTGGAGGTCCTCTTTCTGACCAGGATCGTATATTCACAAATCTTTACGGCCGACATGACTGGAGGCTGAAGGGAGCGCTGCAGCGGGGAGATTGGTACAAGACGAAGGAAATTTTAGCTAAGGGTGCGGATTGGATAATTAATGAAATTAAAGTGTCGGGTTTACGTGGCAGAGGAGGTGCAGGGTTTCCATCTGGCATGAAATGGTCATTCATGAACAAACCCTCGGATGGGAGACCAAAATATTTGGTCATCAATGGTGACGAAGGAGAGCCTGGCACTTGCAAAGATCGCGAGATTCTACGCCACGATCCACATAAGCTCATAGAAGGGTGTCTGATTGCTGGGCGTGCCATGGGAGCTTGTGCCGCCTACATCTATATTCGTGGTGAATTTTATAACGAGTCCTCCAATGTGCAAGTTGCCATTGCCGAAGCGTACCAAGCTGGGTTAATTGGGAAGAACGCCTGTGGCTCTGGTTATGATTTTGATATCTTTGTGCAAAGAGGTGCAGGTGCTTATATTTGTGGCGAGGAGACTGCTCTGATTGAATCCATTGAAGGAAAACAGGGCAAGCCGAGATTGAAGCCACCGTTCCCTGCTGATGTTGGTTTATTCGGGTGTCCAACCACAGTTACTAATGTTGAAACTGTAGCAGTAGCGCCGGTATGTAGACATTCCATATCATAGTTAAAGATACTGAAATTCTTGATTTCGCTCTCCTCCATCTTGTCATATGTCCAGATATTAATAAATAAATGTTTCAGACTATTTGTCGGCGAGGTGGCACGTGGTTTGCATCATTTGGTCGTCCACGTAACAGTGGTACAAAATTGTATAACATCTCGGGTCATGTAAATAATCCTTGCACCGTCGAAGAAGAAATGTCCATTCCTTTGAAGGAACTGATCGAGAGACACGCTGGCGGCGTAATTGGAGGCTGGGATAATTTATTGGGAGTAATCCCTGGTGGATCGTCGACTCCTATTATTCCAAAACAGTAAGAAATCCTGTACATCTACAATTTCTCTTCTTCGCTCCTCCCTTTTGTCTGATTTAATCGTTACCTCTTCAGTGTTTGCGACACCGTGTTACTCGACTTCGATGATCTTGTGAGAGTGCAGAGTTCATTCGGAACGGCTGCTCTTATCGTGATGAACAAGCAAACCGATGTCATCAAGGCTATAGCACGTCTCATAAGTTTCTACAAGCACGAATCCTGTGGACAGTGTACTCCGTGTCGTGAAGGGATCAGCTGGATGTATAAGATTATGTGCAGGTTATTAAATTCACAAACAATATTCTACGTAACATGTCCACTTCAGAATTTTTCACGTATTCTTCTCTGCTTCTGGCAGATTTGTCGAAGGGAATGCGGAGGAGCATGAGATCGACATGCTCTGGGAGTTGACAAAGCAGATCGAGCTGCACACAATCTGTGCATTGGCTGACGGAGCTGCTTGGCCAGTTCAAGGGCTCATCAGACACTTTAGACCTGAAATTGAGAGTCGAATGAAGAGGTTTAAAGTAGCCGCAGTCAATTAATTCCCTTTGGTAAAGTAATGTATCGTCGAAGTGCAGAAACGATGTGCGTGCTATTTATTCCCAATGTATATAGACATGCAATCAGCACGTCGTATTAGACTACTCTTGTATGATGAAATCTTCAACTCCCACCACGCCGCAGGTCCGATTAATAAATCCTGAAATGAAAACCCGTGACGTACGTAAATCAATTTTTTTATATTTGCACCTTATAGACAGATATATATCTGCTAGAGTGTTCATTAAATTTCATTGCGAGTCCATGTAACACCTATTTTAGCGAATAAACTTTTAGTTTACACGTTCATCTTCAGACTGATGTTGCAGTGGCGCATACAAAATGAAAGGTTCATCTTTCCTGTCGGATGAATTGCATTTACCTCCATCACACTACTCTGAAACCTGAACACAGGGGAAAATAATTCATGGAAACCTGAACTAAACGAGAATCTTACACCACCACCCGAAGAATGTACAGAACGATAAATCGCACTTTTTATTCGATTCACGATACAAGAAAAAATTCTCACTAATCCTCCTATTGATTTGCCGTAAACTACGTCACAATACACATCAATGTCGCTCGTATGCGTTTCACAAAGTGCGTATACAATATATACAAAAGCGCTCGCCCGATAGCTGACGGGTCCGTCCTTCCGTTTCTCTCACAAGGTGACGCGAAAGTAGCGTCGAGGAGCTATTGTTTTTTTTAAACTTTTCTCCGAATGGGGTTTACCGAATCGTAAAATTCGAAACGATTCGGTACACCCACTTCGGAGATAAATTTCATAAACGAGCCTTCTAACGCCACTTTCGCACCCCCTTGATCTCCTTCCCTCCACCCGCTATTCCCCTCCTTCTCTTTGCGTCTTAGTGCCGCTAACCGGGACTGTCTTTTTTGCGTTTTAAATATATCAGCTTAGTTACTTAAGTAAGATTAAACGTAGCTGTTATAATCGCCACCCCCGTTTAATCGGGCGTGCCGATGAATTAGTAAGCGCACACACTGTCTTTTATTTTTACGGTAGTTTCGTTATTACATTGTTCTCTTTCTTTAGCTCAGTTTTACACTCGCACATGCTCTCTTTCTCTCTTCAAAAATCCCCGGCGATTCGTTCGGTACTCGTAGTCGTTTAAGTCGAAAAAGAAAAAAGTGTACCGAAGTGTAAGAGCAACGACTCGACGTGCGAATTGAGTATAAAAAAAAATTTGCGTGCTTTAAAAAAAAAATGGCATTCCATTTCGGGGGAAGATCGAGCCTTGAGATTCTCCACGGTCTGATAGAGACATCGATATTATTCTCAGATAGCTAAATGCATGTAAATTGGACGCGGCCGCAAACAAGACTCGTCAAGAGATCCACGCGAGGCAGCTAAATTTACTTCCTCATACATGTGCGGTTTCGCAATCGCGTCTTGTGCTCGGAAATAGACTGTAAATTAACTGCAAGTGAATCGCAAGAGACAAAACCGAGCTTCGCTGTCGCATTATGCACGGCTTGCACGCAATCTATGAGAACTCCTGTTACGACCACGAGTACCGAGCCGCCATCTTTCTTTCTTCCTTTATCTTTACTTCTCGTGGTTTCTTGCTTCATAGTCCTCACCTGTGCGTAGGATCGTTGGGACCAGTTTATAGATTTCATATTAGATTAAAAGACTCCAGGGATAGTAACACTTGCCCATAATTTAGGGCGAGGGATCTTGGATAATTATTATATAAATTAAGTAAGGCTCCGATAATGGGAAAGGGGAAAAAATTCAAGATTCAAACCGGGCGAAACTGGTCCTGGAAAATAAACGATCTGCTGGATTAATCCCGCGAATATACAAGTAAATCCGCGACAAGACAGTGGATTTGCATTTAACAGGAGTAATTAATCTAGCGCTTTGCCGGATGCACTGCCGAGAGGCAGTACATAGCAAGATTTATTATTGCGATCACAATATTAACCGAGGCTAATTTGCATTTAACTTTACTTCCTTTTGTCGTTTTCCCTCTCTCTTATTATTCTCGCGGATTTGCTTTACCCTCCGCAATATACGAAATATATATATTTATATATATGTGTGTATATAAATATACCTACATTTCAGGCAGTGACTATGAATACGGCTTTTCCTCTCCTTTTCTCTCTTTCTCTCTCTCTACCTCTTATTTTTCCCTCTATCTAACCAGGTTCCGAATTCTCTTCGAAGCTTCATCTCAAATCCATCAAAAATCTCGTCGCGAATTCTCTAAAAACCGGCTAAGAGACGAGGACGATTTATTAAAATAATATTCCGCATCTTTGGGCTCCCGAGGGATGACGTCACGTCCCATATCTCTCTCTCTGTTTAATTTCGCATTTTTCGGACGCTTTCGACGCCGGCACCCTCCTCGTCATTCCTCGGTTTATAAATTTACGAATGATAAGAGAGCAGAGACCCTGGGTGATATGAATAAATCGGAGAATCTCGAGCGCCTGTTATCACGTTTTTCCATTTCCTTCTTTTTCAACCCTTAAATATTTCTCTCACCCGTGCACAGGGGACAAGAAAAAATTCATCGAATCAAGGAAACATTTGAAGAATGATTATATTTTTTTTGCCGTGAAATAACTATTGAATTAACAAAACGTTTAATTGGTTCGATGAGATTTTTCTTTTTTTTTTATCAGGCTAGGGTTCCTCTTAACTCGTCTTAAAGCACTTGAAAGCTTGAGGTGCGCTTCCGGAGAATTTCTCTCGCTTTTCTTTCTATTCTTTCGCGTTGTCGTTTTTTTTTCCTCGGGAAAAAGCTTTGGGGAAACTGCACGATTCGCCCGGCATTTTGGGTAATTAGATCGGTAACTATTTCCATCTTAAATCGTCTTCTCTTGTCGCTCACTCGGGGGTTCGAGTGTTCTAGAATTAAAGAAAGATTCTCAAGATCATTCCGTACGTTCGAAAAGCTCGGTGAATTTAAAAAAAAATACAAGCTTTGCAATTAATTCCTAGACGTACGCGATTTCTTATTATTCACTTCGTGGATGTCTTACGGATATTATTCTCAGACGGCCAAGATTATTCATATCACCCATCGTTTTCGAAAAATCGAGAGGAGTCACGATAAGAGATGATTCCTTCCCTTCGCCTCTTTTGTCCGCAAACTCTCGACATTTTTGGTCCTGCGATTCCGCGATATGATTGAGAAAATCGGTCGAACACCGAGTAAAATTCGACGATACGGCTCGTCACTTACGATAAGGATTTCCTCTCCTGGCGAACGAGAGGTCGGAGCTTTCCGTATCTCGGGAAAAAAAAAAAAAAAAAAAACGGGGAAAAGTATCGATAAGTGAGAACGAACGAATAACGCGTTTCCGCGAGAGCGGCGAAAGAAAGACTCGCTGCGCAAGTAACTCCGTAATCGGCGATAATGTCTTCGACCTTGCAACTAGATTACACCTTAATGTCATTTAACGATACAAAACACGCCGGAGAACATTTGGAGGGATATCGAGTGCCGATATCCCGATAAGTGTCGATCTTTAAGAGGGGCCGGTCGCAAACGTAAACCTTTAACGGCACGACGGAAGCACGCAATTCTTTTTTTATCCCCGGCGAAAACCCCCCGAATAAAATGTCCACGGAAAAAAAAAAAAGGAGAGAGAAACGGTTCCTTCGCGTTGGACGCTTCCTCTTTTTTTTCCCCTCTGTCCGATCCTTTCGCCGGATTTTTCTTTTCCACTCGAGACGTGGACCTCGACCGTCGAGACCGATCTCGAGAAAAAAAACAAAGAAGGTACCTGAGGTGTCCCACTCCGATTTTGTTCATTTTTAAATATGTTATAGAGGACTAAAATCTAAGGGACTTGTGTTTTTTTTTTTTTAATGGCGGATATACACTTTTAGGGGGTGAAATCAGGCTTCAAGGTTGGCCGTGCAAGGGGGTGAGTTGGCTGTTTCATTTAGAGGCACTCGACCGACTTTCATGAAACAACCGTCAAAATGTAGGGAATGAAGAATTATGAAACACGCATTTGGAATTTTTCGAAAAAATTCATTTTTAAGGGGTGAGCCACCCCTTTGAATACTTCTTTTACCCCTTACGCGAGCAGTAATTGCTCTATGCAAATGAAACTTGGTTAATTTATAGGCCAGAGCAATACAAAAAAAATTTCATTTGGGTAGAACAATTACTGCTCGCGTAAGGGATAAAAGAAGTATTCAAAGGGGTGGCTCACCCCTCAAAAATGAATTTTTTCGAAAAATCCCAAATGCGTGTTTCATAATTCTTCATTCCCTACATTTTGACGGTTGTTTCATGAAAATCGGTCGAGTGCTTCTATATGCAACAGCCAACTTTGAAGCCTGATTTCACCCCCTAAAAGTGTTAATCCGCCGATAAAAAAAAAGAAAAAACACGGGTCCCTTAGATTTTAGTCCTCTATAACATATTTAAAAATGAACAAAATCGGAGGGGGACACCTCAGGTACCTTCCTCGTATTCAAGTGTTCAAAGTGGTGGCTCACCCCTTAAAAATGAATTTTTTCGAAAAATTCCAAATGCATGTTTCATAATTCTTCATTCCCTACATATTGACGGTTGTTTTATGAAAATCGGTCGAGTGCCTCTATATGAAACAGCCAACTCACCCCCTTGCACGGCCAACCTTGAAGCCTGATTTCACCCCCTAAAAGTGTTAATCCGCCGATAAAAAAAAAAAAACAGGTCCCTTAGATTTTAGTCCTCTATAACATATTTAAAAATGAACAAAATCGGAGGGGGACACCTCAGGTACCTTCCTTGTAAGATGTCCTCTTTAGACGCGGGAAGATCGTGCTCAGGTTGTTGTAAAGAAAGCCCCGCGTGTCCCGGTGTATCTCTTGGTCTCTCGTAATATATTCGCGATAAAAAATAGACGCGTTTCTGATCGCGACCGGCAGGAGCGAGTCTCCCGGCCCGGGCCTCTCTCGGCGGCGCCTCCACTGAAACGGGTCCCCAAACCGTGCCTCTATTTTAAACCGTCGAGACCGATTTACACGCCCGATAAGCATCCGTCCCATCGTATGATACAGTGACAACGATAAATGCCTCCTTTCAGTACCCTGGGCGGTACGGTATCCGCAAGATAAGCACTCACGTCCAACAATGTACGGCACGGACACGGAACGGACACGGACGCGCAAACCGCCGTCTACGACAGAGCCACGTGCTCCGTACCGCGGTAATCCCTCCGAAGTTGAAAAAGGGAGGCCGCGAAGTGTCCAACTAGAAAATAGGCGGTTAAAAAAGGTGGAGATCCCCCCAGGAGGTGAATTCCGTCGGCTCCCTCGGAGAAGCGACGCGCGAGGCCGTCGGGGTCTTGCCCCGGAATTAAAAGTAGCTGTGTACAAAAGTGGACATACATATACGGCATCCCCGCGTGTTCCCGGATGTTCTCGCTCGATTACCCTACAAAGCGTATCAAAACTATCGGGCCCCTGGTCCGAGGGACGGGCTAAAAAACGAGGCGCGCAGCGTTACGGCGAGACTGGCTCAATATTGTTCGACGCAGGAAGTACAAATAGGGGAATCCCGCAGCGGCGCCGAATACAAAGTGAAACCGGCCGCGGTTTATCCACTTACGGATTCCGTTTACACACCGCGCGCTACGAGATTAACATGTTAACGCCGAGCCGTGGATACGGCACGTCGGAGACCCTCCGACGAGGCGAGGGTCGAGGGCTCAGCGCGCTGCGCTCTTCGGCAGGTCGCCCGGGATTCCCTCGGTCCGGCGAACCTTTCCAGGGATCTATGCGCATCAATGGGAGGATGCGATGGATCCATCGTTGCAAGACGCACGCAGTTAATAAAAATATACTACAGAGCGGCCGTGGAGGCCGTTTTTTAGAGGGGGGCCCGAGTGCCCCGGGGAGGAGGCCGAGCCGGGCGCGCTCGCCGACGATCGGAAGGCACGGGGTAGGACATCAAAGGGGGTCTTCTTCTCTTGAGGGTCTTCCGCGACTATCGGTCGTCGCCGGTCCACTCGCTGGCCGCCCAGGAGGGCAGGGGGGTCTCGTACTCCCACCCGGGTCCGCAGTACCGCCAGGCGTGCAGGTACATCACCAGGTCCGAGGGCTTGGGGTCTCGGTACTTCACCTTGCACTCGTAGCAGTGGGGGTCGACGGTGACTTTGGGGTCGACCCTGGTCCCCGGGTCGGTGCTCTCGGACCCGGTCTGGGTGCCCACCGTCACCTTCAGGGCCTTGGCCTCGTCCTCGGGGGCTGGGCCCGGACCCGGGGAGACCTCCTTCTCGGGGCCTTCGCTCCCCTCGCCCTCGATCTCCAGCTTCGGCTTGAAGAGGCTCATCTCCGCGTCCCCGTCCATCCCCAGCCAGTTCTCCGCGTTGTGGATCCCGATCAGGTCCTTCACCAGCTCCTCGTCGGTCTTCCCGATGTTCCCGCCCTTTCCCTTCTCTGGGCCGAACACCACGTGGTTGTACAGCGGGTCGTTCACCACAGGGTACCCCAGGTACTGCAGGTGTACACGGATCTGGTGCATCCGACCTGTCTGCGGCTTGCAGAGCACCACCGAGGAACGGCCGTTGAAGCTCAGTCGCTTGAATCTCGTCACGCAGTCCTTACCCTTCTCGGACACCTTGCAGACGCCGATCTTGTAGGACACCACCTCGATTGGCTCCGAACAGACCACCTCTTCCTCAGGGAACTCCCCCTCCACTCGACACACGTATTGCTTGTGCACCTGGAAAAGGAGACTTGTACCTCTTGGATTGACCCCAAGGACTCGGTGCACCTTTTTCCACCTTCCCTCACCTGCCTGTTCCTGATCTGGTGCTCCATCTGGCGCGCCTTCTTCGGGGTCCTCCCGAAAAGCAGGATCCCACTCGTCAATCTGTCCAGCCTGTGGATGGTCCTCAGGTTCTTCAGGTTGTACTCCTTCGCCAGGATGAACACCACCGTGTTGTGTCGGTACCGGCCACAGGGGTGGACCTGGAAGAGGGAGGTAGAGATCAGTCCTCCGGGAAGTAGAATGGCAACTTGGGGGGGAAAAGGCACCACTCGCGGTTGCGCTCTTCTTTCTTCAAGGGCTTGATGGAGGGGAAAGAAAATGGAGGATGCAATGAGAGCTTCTAAGGCGAAATGCCTTTCGACTCTTTGCGACTGAGGACGCTCGAAAGGGAGTCGGGCTTCTCCAGGTACACCCTGTACACCCCCCGGGGTGTGCAGGGTGAATTATTTAAGGGGACGTGAAAGTGCCATCCGAGGAGCCAATTGCTCGTGAAGCTTCTCTTCGAACTGGGTGTACCGAATCGTTACCAAATTTTACGCCCTTAAGGCGCAGACCATGAGGAACGTCCCGACCTTTGTGAAATTTCAATTTTTTATGAAAAAAATACATTGTTTAATTTTCGCAAGAAATTTGGAAAACATTCGAATGGGGGTCTTCTTCCTCGGTGCCTTTAACTTCACGGGGTACGGTTTCAAGCTATTCGGTACACCCGGTAGTAGTTTCATATGTGAGATTTTTTGCGACACTTTCGCGTAGCCTTAAGGTTCTCGCAATTTTTCTTCGGAAATTATTTAAAAATTGAAATTTCAATTTTTAATGAAAAAATAGTTTCATAAGTGAGATTTTTTGCGAAACTTTCGCGTAGCCTTAAGGTTCTCGCAATTTTTCTTCGGAAATTATTTAAAAATTGAAATTTCAATTTTTAATGAAAAAAGACATTGTTTAATTGTCTAAAGAAATTTGGAAAACATTCGAATGGGGGTCTTCTTCCTCGTTGCCTCCAACTTCACGGGGTACGGTTTCAAACTATTCGGTACACCCTGTTAGGAGTACTTTCATAAGTGAGACTTTTTGCGACACTTTCGCGTAGCCTTAAGGTTCTCGCAATTTTTCTTCGGAAATTTTCTTGGATATTCGGGACACTGATCGGACCTCGGATCGGCACGCATTGCTGGAGATACAGTCAATTGCGTACGCACGCTGCATATAGCTATCGAGTCCAAGTTGGCACGCGAACCAGACTGCCGACACACATTTTCTTCCCTTTGCGAGCCGCGTTACGTACGACCCGGCGGAAATTGCGCCACATTCCCGGCGATATGAGTATTTTTTCATTAGCAAAACGACTGCTCCGAGGTTCCCGGTACGATCGCCAGGAGGCGCGCAATGGCGCTCCCCCGCGGGATATTAAGGGAAAAAAAAAGACGGGACGAGAGGAGGCGCGAAATAAAAAGAGTCTTCCCTGTTAAATCGTCATCCCCGTAGATTGGTCATGTAAAGCAAGAGGGTTTGAAATTTTGAATAACGAGGAAAGGAAAAAAAAAAAGAATTACCCACTCGAAGCCGCGGCGCATCGCGTGGAGAAGGATTACGTAAAATATCGGAAAATTTCCAGGACTCTCCCTTCGGTTATTTAATTATACCGAGAATCTCCTAATTCGTGTTTTTACCCGCCACTGTGTATCCTCTCATCCGTATTACTTATACCGAGAACTTTCGAAATGAAGAGCCTTTCTTCCCTGTATTTCCCGTTCCGCTAAATTATACCGGGAATTTTGGAATTCAAGCTTCTGCCCGCCATCCTGTATTCCCTTTAGCGTTTAATTATTCCGGGAATTTTGACCCCTGACCCACCGCCCGTTATATTCTCATTTATTTAATTATTCGAAGAATTTTCAAACTCAAGCTCTCCGCCATCTTGTAGGAAGTCCCGGAAAGGCACGATTCGATAAGTCTGACCCATTTCTTCTGGCCATTGCCGTGGAAAGGCAAAGAGGAGGGAAACAATCGCCTCGACAAAAGGAGTCATTTTCGAAAAACACGGAATAATCGCCCAGTTGTCCTCCGAGGCTTTTACAAATGGCGGCGTCGCGAGCGCCGCGGCAACCGGTCCGATCGGTTTTTACTCGCCCAGCGAAAGGAAAAGGAGTCCAAAGATGGAATCGGTTGCGTGGCGAAGGAAAAGCGGGATTTCCCTCTCTTCCCGCATAAATTACCGAGTAATAATTGCCCCGGAGTCGGTTTTTCTCTCCCCGCGCGTAATCCAAGATGGCCGCGCAAGCGACTTCGGTGAGTTCGAGAAAACGAGGAAAGAATCGCCGAGAGAAAGTCGCTAGATCGACCCTCGACATCCGCCAGTCACGATAAGGCGACATTGCCCTGAAATGTCATATCCAATAAAACAAATCAGTCCCCTTTTTGTCCCCGTAGGCTCGAGGAATTAATTTCTTCCGCGACCCGGAAAAGTGGGACTTCCGTCGCGCGACTCGAACCGCCCAACGAGAAGTGGAATCTGTGTCACGTCGCAAAGATACGCTGCCATGTATATAAGAAAGATAAAAAAGGTACTCGGAGAGGTTATCAATCCCCTGTCTTGGATAATGTACGTGATTAGTCGTGCGAAATAATTCCCATGTTTATTCGCGGCGCTGGAACGCGCGTCGAAATCGAAAGTACTCGCTAGAGCCCGCGGCCATTTCTTTTGAAACCAGCTCCGAGCTATATTTTCCATCGGCAGAAGCCTTGCGAAAGAAGAAGGTATTCCGTAACGATTAAATAAGGATCGAGCCATCGACTGGTTTTCGAGATTCTCATCCTTGACCCCGTAATGGCGCAGAAAGGCGCCGGACTCCGGTGGAAGTCCGATCGACTCTTCTAGAACTCCCAAGCCTGACGAAGGTCTCGACTCTTCTCGTAATTCATGGCGTTCCTTCGCCTTTGAATAAATATTTTATATACACATCGTTCAGCCCGATTTGCATTAATTAAACAATTACAAATGGCAATAATAAAGCGCGAGATGTTCGGCCAGAAAAGATTTTCTTTCCCGTTCTGGGGTGGTTAAAGAAAAAAATGTCAAACATTAAGGGGACACGAAAGTGGCATCGATAGTTCACGAAACGTTTCCGAAACTTGGGGTACCGAATCGTTTGAATCTTTAGACCATGAATATGGAGGCCATAAGGAAGGTCCTGACATCTACAAAATCTGAAAATTCATAGAAAATTTTGAAAAGAAATTCTGAAAAACTTGGAATTTTACGAGTGTCCGGACCTTCCTCACGGTATACACGACCACGGTGTAAAGTTTGAAACGATTCGGTGGCCCCAGTTAGGAGGAAAGTGTTATAAAGGAGACTTTTCGCCCCGCCTTAATGTATGAATTGATATAGTTCGTCGGAAGAGTCGAGTCGTCCTTAGAGGGTAAAATCGAAGGAGAGGCGAAGGCGACATCGAGGAAGATGCGGCTTGGCACCGTTGACAGCGGATCGAGCAACGAGAATGCCGTTGGCAGGGTCTTGGCAGTATGTTGGCAGTACTGTCTTGGCAGTACGTTGGCAGTACACCACTTACAGGGATGGACGCAGGCTTGTTGACCACCACGACGTCCTCGTCCATGTGGATCACCGTGATCGGCTCCGAGGTGACCGGCACCTCGTGTCTGCAACACACGAATTGTAAACCAGCTTATAGTGGCTTTGTCGTGCAAATCGGCCATGCTAAAAGTGGATTAAGTGGCCATGAAAATGTCACCAGAGGAATCACTCGACACTTATCTCCAAACCAGGTGAACCGATTCGCTCGAAACTTAACCCCATGACAACAAAGGCCCTAAGGAAGGTCCCTCTACCCATGAAATTTAAATTTTTGATAAAAAATTTTCATAACATTCATAAAAAAATTCACAAAAAAAAAAAGAAAGAAAATGAAATTTCATGCGACGTTTCAAACGAATCGGTGCACCTTGTTGGGAGGAGTTGGATTAACGAGACCTCTGGCGTCACTTTCGGGACGCCTTAATTCCCGGACGAGGTCGGGCGAGGGTCCTCGGGTAAAATGAACCTCCCGAGGAGTCGCTCGCCCATCCTCGTCGGGGGGCCGCGCTAATAATTGAATTAGCCACGAAAGAGTCTCGTCCTGGCCGCACTCCACGGCCAGGACGGATGTCTACGGGTCTAAGAGAAAAGCTCGATTGTTACGACCATTAAGGGGGTGTTAATCGACTAGTCTACGGGAGTAGGGGCACGGGGTCGCGCCTTGACCCCTCGAAATCCCGGGAAGCCGTTAACTGGAGCGGTCTTGCACTAAATAATGCGGTAAACCCGATTGCCTGTCGTGTCGGTAAACGAGCGTTGCTCAACGCTCTTCTGGGAAGGACTTCTAGAGTCGAGATCGGTCGGAGCCAGAGGATTCTCCGATGGGCGTTCGGATTCGGCGGCCGGCTCTAAGTCGAGCTAAATTCGGAGGTACTTCGGATTTAACATCTGGCCTCCTGTCGGCTAGTCGTGTCCGAAAATTAGACCTGACGGGAGAGAGATAGAGACCCGCGAAGGGAAGTCAGGACCGCCTTGTCCGACGGCCACGTGGGGCGCGGTCAAGCTCGAATTGGCGCGCGCAACCAGTGCAACCGGTTGCTCCCCGGCTGCACCTGTTGGGTCGGTTGCGACGGTGCCCACTTAATGTGGTATTTAGGCGTCCACACGGAATGCTCTACCACATTTTAATAAATTTCTTACACGTACTTTCGACATCTAAAAGTGTCATATGCCCACTTAATGTGGTATTTAGGCGTCGGTGAAAATTATTCCAACAGATTTTATGAAATCTTCACACTTGATAAGATGAATATTAATGAACTGAAAATTGAACACGGGGTAGGGAATTTAGACGTCCACACGGAATGCTCTACCACATTTTAATAAATTTCTTACGCGTACTTTCGACATCTAAAAGTGTCATATGTCCACTTAATGTGGTATTTAGGCGTCGGTGATATGAAATCTTCACACTTGATAAGATGAATATTAATGAACTGAAAATTGAACACGGGGTATACACCCCACGTGGGCAGGGAAACGAGTCAATCGATTTTCCTCCCGCTCTTCTGGAGTTGTTCCGCAGTCGTGGAATTGTCATTTCGGCGCAGAAATGGTGCAACCGGTTGCACCGGTTGCCCTTGTGCCGGTCCATCTTCTCTCCCTCGTTGTCTTCGAGTTCCATTTCCTCGCCCAGCCGGAAACGAGAGGACTCACCGGAGTATAAATAATCCAAGGACACTTTATCCGACAAGTGGCTCGGCATTCCCTTGAAAATTGGTGCCCCGAACCGGCACACAACAGGTGCACCGACGCAACCGGTGCAACCGGCAGCCGTCGCATTACCTCCCTTCAATTGACCCGGGTTTCAATTCCACCTCCGGTGGAACGTGCGAGTCTCCTCGCCCTCGGAAAAAGGCGCTGACTGGCCTTTCGATTTCACCGCGCACTCACGACCCTCGGCTCTCGACAAAAGGAGCAAACGCGAGAGAGGGTGGCTGGGCGAGACGGAAAACGTGGAATGGCGAAAGGAGAGAGAGAGAGAAAGAGAGGAAAAGGGTGGACTAGGTCCGCGAGGACGGAAGGGTGAGTTCGCTCCGGTTGCGGAATACGTAACGCGGTTGCATACTCGAGGGGACCCGCGTCGCGAGTTTTTTAAGGACCTCTGGGGGATTTTCCCCCCCCAAGGGGCGCCTCGTGTCGGCGGATTTATCCCGGAGAATCGAGAATCGATCCTTCCGCGTGGTCGCCCCACCGTCAGCCTCCGTAGTTTCGCCGATTCTGAAACAATAACGACTCAATGTCGGGCCTACGGATCCAAGATGGCGGACGCCGCCGCGCGTCCTTATGGAATAAGTAATCGTGGTAAAAAAAGAAGCTAACCCATCCTTATTTCTATAAGCGCGCCTTATTTCCCCCGCTGGGTGGAGTTTCATGGAAAAGTGAATAGATTTCTGTCTAAGAAACTCCGAAGACGGAGGCTAACGGGCACGTTACGCGGATATATGGCTCGAGTGGGATCCAATATGGCGACCGCTGGGGAGGCGGCGGGCGTGCGAGAGAGAGGGCGCGACGCGCGGCCCGCGGGAGCGAGAGAGAAGGAGATACCTCCAGCGACGCGGCTGGTCGCGGTCCCGAGCGCGAAATCCGACGAGGTCGTCGCGACGCGAAAACCTCGGCTCCGCAGATCCCGACGTAAACTCGCTGATTTAACTCGCGTCTTCCTCCTCCCCTTTGTTACCTCCGGGCTCGTAGTTTTTCCCCATTTCCTTCGCGGAAGCTGTGGCGCCGCGCCTCCCCCCACGGCCGCCATTGTCCCGGGTGGACGCGCGTCCCGGGGCTCGAGAATTAACGCCGAGAGTCGCCTTTCTTCGGCGCAGCTTTCATCCCTCCGAGCTTTCGAGTGGATTAAGGCGCGCTTTAATCGGCGTCATCGCGACGTTATACAATCCGCGAAACGCTTCTCCTCGATCTCCATCCCTCCCGCCTGGGAGGTGATTTTTTTTTTTCCATTTTTCCTCAATGCCGGCCCTTGTTAAATTGAAAACTCCGGTAGGCAAAGCCGAGTCGACTGGATACCGAGCCGAGTTCACAGTCCTCCCCTGAATTAGCTCGGGTCGTTGCTTCGATTAGCGGCTACGGTCACGCCATGTTGGACGATACCGCACTTCTCAACGAAACTTCCTTAGCTTCCTTCAGGGCTCCTTCGATCCTAATTTCTCGTTCCCCGAGAATGTCCATAAAATATAAAATCAGTCTTGCAAAAAAAAGTAAACCCCTAAAATTGACCAATCTACCAAGAGCAAGTCCAATTCCATCGACCGCGTAAGAAGAAAATCCACTTTTCACGTGTCGCGTAAAAAACTGGTCCCATTACGAGACGATCATAATGCAAATCCACGGGTATAGAAATGACGGGATGATCCTAGAAAAGGGGGAGAAAAAAAAACAGAGGAACGTGGAGAACCAGTCTTTGGACCCGGCGGCCATCTTGCGAGCGCGTGGGGAGGCTTTTTCGCGAGTGGCGGTTAATTGTCCAAGTTTTTTAGGGTTTCCCCGCCAGAACTTGTAAGAGGCACCAGAAAGTGGGAGGAAACGCGAACCTCGGGCGGTAAACAGTCACTTAGGAGGCCCTCGACGATAACGCGAGGGAAACGGAGGAAACGGCGTTTCTTAATTGGAGGGCGCCACCACTGCGGCGGAGCTTAAATCACGATCACGGGGCGGAGGCATAACCATAGGTTTGTCAGTGGGATCATAAAAGTGGCCGCAAGTCTCCCCGCGTCCGTTCCACGGTCTGCAATGCGCAAAAGCCTTGCTTAAGCCGTCACGAGGATCGGGCCATCGATTGCCGGAGGGAGAAGCGCCTCCACGTTTTCTGGCGCATAATATGCACCTCTATTGAGCCGCCGATCCCGGTTGATCCTCGGTCCTATCAGTTGTCGATAGCTGTCTCATTTAATTTTTGCAACCGCCATTCGGCTGACATCGATTGTCGACGGCCTTATCATATAATTTTTGCAAACGCTCCCTCGGTTACCTCCTCAAGGTATCAGCTGATTTCTCGCTCAAGCTGTCAACCGCGCTGTCAATTCCTGTATCGGGTAATTTACTTTCAAACAAAAAAAATATATATACTAACAAAGTTTGGCAGAAAGTGATATTTTTGTGATAAACATTCCCGGGAAAATTTATTCCCCATTCGGCCTGAGAAAGTAATGGAAATCAGATTAATGAAAATTCCTATTTTTATCGCAGCGTCTGCTAATTTTTCAACTATCCCCTGAGAAACGCGCCCAAACACGTACTTAAACCATCGTGTATTTTTTTTCTCGACAAAATTATTTCTTACAATTTTATATATGTATATTTGTTTCAGTCAACTATTTTTTTCCAGTTCTCATGTTCATCAGCTGTGCCGTCGATCGCTGGATATGCAAATTTTTCGTCCGTACCACTAGTTACCGTTTGAAACTACCATCGGAGAGCACTTACAGCGCATTTCCACCCTCCCTTCGATAAGTCGTTTTCTCATGCGACCGTAGTTTTCCAGGTGAAACGTAACAGCAGCCTAACGTCGCGATATCATCACAAAATTATTTCTTACAATTATATATATTTGTTTCAGTCAACTAATTTTTTTAGCCACCGTTTGAAACTACTATCGGCGATCGCTCGCAGCGCGTTTCCACCCTCCCCCCGATAAGTCGTTTTCTCGTGCGACCGTAGTCTCCCAGGTGAAGCGTAACAGCGGCCTAACGTCGCGATATCATCACAAAATTATTTCTTACAATTATATATATCTGTTTCAGTCAACTAATTTTTTTAGCTATCGTTTGAAACTATCACCGGCGATCGCTTGCAGCGCCTTTCCACCCTCCCCCCGATAAGTCGTTTTCTCATGCGACCGTAGTCGTCCAGGCGCGGCGTAACAGCGGCCTAAGGTCGCGATATCATCGGCCCCGGCCCCGGCGTACGCATAGATAAATCAACCTGTCAAGCCGCCTTTAGAGCCGCTCTCCATCCCCGACTCGTTCCACCCCCGACGCCCTCCGTGCGCTCCCGTTCCTTCCCGGCCCTAACTCGCGCTTTCGACCCGCCGACGACGCCAATCCGGAGTAATTCG